GAAGACGTACGTAGTATACTGGTTTTACCAATCACAAAGCTGATTTGTTGGATCACCATGGTAAACCTTTTCCGATGGAATCACCCTGGCAATCATTGCAATCATGTCAGTGAAGGCAAAAGCCGTACAACAAACAGTAGTAATACCCTCTGGTTATTTGTTACATCGCCATTGGAAAATCACCATGCTATTAATAGGTAAACCGGTAAACCTTATCTATTTCGATTAGGGCCATCTATACCAGTAAACCGGTAAACCATCTATTTCTATGGGCCATCGAAAAACCATGGCTATGTTAGTCATCACCAGAGGGTAACTTCCAGTTCTTCCTTGGCTCCCCTGGACGCCCCGACGTCGATCTGCACTGCCAGCAAGTCCACCTGGGGAACTGTCGGAAGCCAACGGTAGTAAGATATATAGTTAACCCCAAAAAAATAACGCTCAACCAAGAACCAAACAACATCAACTATAGAACAAGAATAATATCAACTATAGCAGTAGCTATTTTTTTTCGATAGTCATGTTCAAATTATACTAGCAAAGATTCAAGCAAAGATTTTCCATCCTGAAGCCTGGAAAGGCTGGTGTTTCCCACTGAATGATTCACCATGGTGGCTTCACCAAGGGATTTTTCCTCAAGTTTGCGAACTTGAAGCCATGGCCCGTTCAGTTCGTTGATTTACCCATTCATAGCCATTTATAGTGGATTTACCCATTAAAAATGGTGATTTTCCATAGTTATGTTAGTTTACCTCATGATCCAGTTACTAGATCATGAAATGGTGGATAGCTGGACAATGTGTCTAAAAAAAACACTGGATCGAAAAGACAAAATACCATCCTCCTGTTCAGTTTGATACATCAGAGCTAGAAAAACTACTAGAGCCAACCCTTGGACGTGAATACAGATTTCAAACATAGCAATCCCATTAAAACAAAAACTCAAAACAAAAGTAAAAAGAAAATCCTAACACAATGGCAATTTATTCAAACATATTCAAACCGATATAGGATCATATAATGGCCCTTTCTAGTCTCCACCACTGCATCTTCCAGTCGAACATCGCCAAGGCACGCCGGAATGTTCGTAGGTTTGAATCTCGATTCGAGACCTGGGCAGAGTTCCGAATCGGCATCGCTGCTGAGCTAAGGGGGGCCATATTTTCTTAACAGAAATATTCCCAATAGATTCCCCAGTCATGATGGAGTCACCAAGGAAAAAACATCATGAAATCCACTCAGAAATCCAGGATCGACGTTCTCGGATTGACTTCAGAGACTGATGGAAAGCAGATTCCTCAGATGAAACCAGCTCCATTTGAAAAATCTTCAGTTTCAATCGAATCACCAGCATTTCGATCTCGAATTCTCTTCTGACATTCTGAATCACGCCTCCGATCCCGTCGAAAATCAACCATTGAGCTATCCCGGAAACCATGGTGCCATGGGATTGAACCACATCTTGTTTATATGAAGACCGGAATTATCAGAAATCATGTAAAAATAATGTACATCTTGTTTATCATGGTTTATCATGTTGATCTTTATGATCTACATGTGTATATATATAGTGTATATATAGTGTATATATATATATTATACAGTGTATATATATAATTATATACATATATATATATGTATATGTTTATCATGTCAATCCACTTTCATGGACCGTTTAAGACATCGCCCATGGTTTCTGAACCGCATCGCCATGCCCAGCCACACGACGCCCTCGGTCACGGAGACGCCATCGCCGCCCAGGGGATAGCCGACCACTGACACCTCGTCCTGGCGTCAGATGGTCCGTCCTGGTGAAACGCCAAGGGTAGCCTGGAAAATTCATGTAGCTAAGCATGAAATCATCATAGAAATTACATCATGTTGAGGCAAATCATCATTTCTATCATCATGAAAATGTAATCAGAAAATTTCACTATCATCTATTTGCTAATTCTGTAGTAATAAGCTACATGGAAATCTGTTGAGGCACATCAGATGTCATATCATTTCTATCATCTATGGGTCATTTTCCATAGCTACGGTGGATGGTTGATAGGTGGTAAACATCCCACGATTCTGTTTGATGATTTTCCTGGGTGTTTTTTTCGGGGTGATAGCTGATAGATGACTGGTTGACTGGTTGATTGATGTTGATTGCCATTTTATGGCGATATGTCATGGAATATCATGGAATATCATGGAATATCATGGAATATCATGGAATATCATGGAATATCATGGAATATCATGGAATATCATGGAATATCATGGAATATCATGGAATATCATGGAATATGTCGCAAAAAGACGGGTAAATTATGTTTTCTTAGTGGGAAGCCGTGGTGCTTGGCACCTGGTGCTTTGGAGCTGTCTGCCCTTTCTTAACAGGCACTGCATTGTTTAACCCACAGGACTGAGGGCCCTCTGGTTATTTAACATAGCTATGGAAAATTGCAAAATGGCCCATAGAAATAGATCAATTTCCCAGCTAGACTTCCATTTATCATGGATTTTCCATGGCTATGTTAAATAACCAAAGGGAATCCAAAGGGTATGTTCCGTTGAATTCAGTTGAAATAGCTCCTTAAACAACTGCATAGAAACAGTGAATTTAAAGCAGGCCTCATAATACTCACATTCTCACTTCATCGGGTTCACACAGCAATAAACAAATCCAACAATCATAGCTCAAACTACGAGTTCCAGGGCACCAGTTGATATAAATCGGCACAAAACGTATCCAAAAAAAACTCACCATAGCTTCATGATTCCTGCTTTCTAAAGTGAGTAATTTCTTTTAGAAAGGAATACTGCGTAGTTGCTACCAGTCTCCTGGAGCGATGGCATAGAGCCGAAGTTCAAGGGACTGACCTTGGCGGCCACATCGGCCACTGGGAAATCCCCATAGAAAAATGGAGGTCTAAATATGTCTTAATAGGAAAAGATAAGGAAATCATTGAACTCAATGAAGGTTTTCATGGGACATGCACATGAAAAATTGGGATGTTATATGAAAATCATCGAACTTCATGATGGATTTTCCTGCCAGCCATACTTGCTCAGCCGCTGTCCAAAAGCTGTGGGGTTGGAGAGGGTTTCCCAGAATTCATCAGTGGATTGTAGATGATTATAGTAATGTCATAAACCCCATGACTTAAACAACTAAGATTTGGGTTGCTTGCAATCCATGGTAAGTCATTGGGGCTGGTGGCATTGTGTTTACCATATTGATTCTCATCGAACCTGGAATTGCAATAAACCCCAAACCAGTTGATACAACACAACCATTATCCCTTCCCCCTAATATTAAACACCCCCTGAGAAACCATGGTTTAGTAGGGAATTTCCACCTTTTTTCGGGACCATAGAAATGGGGTGTTTCATTTTTTCGGGTGATGGGATTAGTTCAACAATCCATTGTGGGATTACCATCCGGACAATCCCCGGGCGCCAGCGAGGGAATTGGGCTCAACGAAGGCGAGCAATTGAAGGGAGGTCGGGGTGGAGTGGGTGGAGTGCTGCCCGAGGGTTGCTTCAACCAATATTTACAACTTATATAATTACAGTACAATCCCCATATGTAGAGATTTCACGAGATTTCTAGTCCCATAGGCTACTATCCCACAAAATAAGCACTTCGCTGAGAATTATCGGATATCCTAGAGGCTAACCCGATAACCCGATGATGGTTACTACTTGCCCTTTGTCCCCATATCTTGTAGCTGCATACCCGAAAAACAACCCCATACAATCCCCATGTAATCCCACGTTTAACCCCCATATAAACCTATACAATCCCCAGAAAAGTCCATTGTGTACACCTAATCCCCACAACATCATATACCACTGTCTAACCCCCAACCTCAAGGTAATCCAATGAAAAATGCTTATGTCCTGATTGGGAGTGGGTCTCCCAAAGGGGAGGTTTGAATCAGGTAAATGCCTGTATCCAGCCATATCCCCATTATGTATATATATATAACTCCATCTGACCAAAGAAAAACCGTCCACCATGAAATATATCCAAAAAAATATGTACATATATATATATACATATATATATATACATATATATATATACATACATATATATGCCCAGTATTCCACATTAGATCTCCATTTTTTGGTTGGTTAAATCCTCATGAATCAACCACTCCAGGATCTTCCGACATCCGACCAGAAGTCCTCATCCTCCACACCTGGGGTCATGGATGACAGAAACCTGGCTGCGTCTATGTTTGTAAATATAGATGTTATATTGTTGTATAATTAATATAGATATTAGTTAATATTACATATTAGATGTTGATTTATATATATATATAACCATAGAGATATAGGATTAGGAACATATATAGATGCACATACCATCTAATATATATATATACATACGTTAGTATCATACATATTCAAATATCACGAAAACCTGTATATATCTATGTAGATGGTTATATGTACATATTCTGATTATACATATATGTATGTATGTATGTGTATATGTACATACATATATATATATATATGTTGTATATATATATGTTGTATATATATATATCATATATGTTGTATGTATATATATATGGACAACGTCATTACACTGGGGATACCCCAAAATGGAAATGTAAATGGAAAAAATTGGCTTTAAACCATGGGGATCCATGGGGGATTTTGGGGGTGTATACCGAATTTTCAGCTAAACCCAAACGCACCAACAGTTGGTGAATTATATTCCATTCTCTCCATATTTTCACCAGTGAAATAAAAAAGTCAAAACCTTTCGATTTACCCGGCCTGGTAAACATACAAAAAACTATGAATCACCATGTTTAATGGGAAAATCCACTATGAATGGTCATTTTCAATAGCTATTTTGACATAACCAGAGGGTAATTCCATAGTATTTTCGGGGGGGTTCACATCCAGGGTTATCCCAGCTGTGGGGCCCATCACCGGATCGCCGCGAGCGGCATTTTCTGTGCCACGAGGGGGTCTCTCCTTTGCTAAGCCTCGCAGCACGCCGCTTCGAGACAGACCGCGGCACCTAAACGGGCAGCAAAACGCAGCAAAAAGTGGCTTTTTCACCACCAAAAGGTTGGGATTTTACTGATTTAACAGGATTTAACCGACAAAAAAAGGATGTGTTTGATTTACAGTAACTGATTTGACCAACAAACGAGGTGATTGAACTGATTTAGATAAACCAATAAAAGAGAATTTCACCAGAAAAAATCGGAATCTAATCCCAAAAAATGATGAAACATGGGGATACCACGTGACATGGGTGTTGACCCTCTTGAATTCTAATCTAGTTAGGAAATCTTAATGCTTCAGGATAAAATGGAAAATGGAAGAATATAATGAAGAACTTGCTATCCGCGTTGTGATTGGTTATATCATCAGCCTTGCCGCTTGAAACTTCAAACCTCAAACCAACACTTTCAACTTCATTCGCCTTACAAGGTGGTGCACCATAATTAGCTAAGCTGGTTTATGACTAACAACTAGGATTTAAAGTAGATATCATAGATATCTCTAGTTAGTAGGAGTTGTAAACCAACCTTCATAGCTGAAGGGAACCACCTTGTAGTTGCTAAATTGCCATGAATTCTCCTTGGCAAACGCTGGAATCAGTTTTACAGCCCAAACTTTGCCACCCCTAAGAATAGGATACCCCAACGCACTGCTTCATCATCGCCGAAAAGAACAATGATCGGAATTATCACAGCTATTTTAGTGTTAAAACCAAAAAAAATGGTATAAAGCCATAGCCATTCTTTATTGCTACATGGCTTAGACTCCAACTTCTGATGTTTTAAATTTCATTGATCAATCCACAAAAAGATGATGCCATCCCCCATGGACCTGTTGCATCCCGTTGCCCTGTCCAAAGGGACTTTAGATTTTTCCAACCTGGAAAAATCCTGTCCAACAGTTCAAATCCGTTGTTACTCAATGTTCTAGGACATGTCCCAAAAAATATTGAATTGGATCTACCGTAATTCCAGTTTTATCCCCCCCAAACTTTGCCACCCAAACAACAAAAATATTGGGTGTGTAAATTATGGCAAACCGCAAAATTGCTAAATCCACTCGTTGATCATCTTCCCGATGTTCTCCATCTTTCTGGACGTTACTTTTTTTGACCAAATAAAAAAAAAAACACTATTTTGCGAGCAAATGCAAGATATAAATATGCATGTATGTATGTATGTGTATATGTATAATGTGCCCATTTGGGTGCTCAAATCTACCCCTTTTTTGCCACTGGTGATACATCATAGGTGCTACATATCCCAAAAATCTAGCTGGTCCTTTGCCCAGGCGCTGGCTTCCTTGAAATTCTTGGCCTTTCCCACTAGCTCTGAAAGGCTTAGCACCATCACGTCCAACATGGTCACATTGGTTTGAGTGACTGTGGGCCTCAACGAGGCTAAGGTGGGGGGGGGTCAATCACCAACATGTGGAAAGTTTACCTAGGGTACATGGGTATCCTCCACCTTATCATCTTAATTACCCAATTACATCATGGGTTATGGGATCCAATTCATCATATAAATATTATATATATAGGTGGATTTCACCAATCATTTGGAGGATAGCAATCAATGGGGAATTGAACAAACCAATGGGTCACCAGTTTATCGCTATTGAACCGGGAAAAAAAAACATAGGAAACCAGGTCGCACCTCCCGAAGCTTTCGTGCTTATGCCAAGCAAAAGATCCCGTGCCATATTCGCCTTGTTGATGAATGAAATCTGGGTAAACTATATGTACGTATACATCTATATATATACATATATATATATTACATATATATATATATATACATATATATATATACATATATACATATATATATACATATATATATACATATATATATATATACATATGATATATATATATATATACATATGATATATCTATATATACTAGTTCACTCACTTGAAAAGTTCGGCCACACCAGGGGACAGTTCCCCCAAATCCAACTCCCATCATTTTGGGGTGAGGGTCGCAGTGAGGTCGGTCCAAAATTAACCAAGATTGCCCATTGGGCAGCTTAAATATCCATTTAACTGGTTGGTTCATTCATCCGCCAATCCATCGAAAACATGCTCACGACGCTGCATCCTCACCGTGCTGCATCTCCAGCTGAAAAATCTCAATACAGGAATTAACCATGTCCTGTTGGTTGGTTTTCAAGTCAAAGATATTCCGCAATTGGAGATCACCATCTCAGGATAGAAAAGACGAACAAAGTTAAATAAAACATAAACCACTGCGGTTATACATTGCCCCTACATCTATCTCTACGTCATACATCTAGCTTTATGTGTGTGTGTGTCACGTACATTATATGTATAAACATATCCTCATTTTTGGAGGTCCAAACCAAATAGAGTATATGCACGTATGACCACTAAAATCTCAACATTTCCATGGCCAAATCCCATGTTTTGCTTTGCCTGAAATCCCCTTGGTGATGGGTTTTTTCTGTTCAATGTTCACCAGAATTTGTTCCTTAGAAACGAAGATGTCTTTGCCTAAGGAAATGAACTTATGGAACATCTGGAGTTTCCGATCATCATCGATCAATGTTTTCCCGGTGGTTTTTTCATCCAAAAATTTCATCCCACCATGAAATTGAGAATTCCCTCTGGAACGACCATCCCCAATCAATCGGCCAACCCAACTACCCAAGTGCTGTGGGAAAAACTCATAAACTGAAGTAGATACAATATGATAAAATAGGACATGTTCAAAAGTATTCACATTGTTTGGTTTTTATATGTCGGTTTTTAAATCCCAGAAATTCTATATACTCCCAGAAATTCCTATAAAAACTCCAGGATTGTTATCCATCCAAGTTTTCTTCAAAAACCAAGACGCTCTGCGAAGATCTGCATCACCTGGTGACAACGAAAAAATCCGCGAAACTTTCGCCGGAATACGATGAAAAAATGTTGTTTTACGATGAAAAAAAGTGGTTTTAATGAGGTAAAAACACTATGAACATGTTACCCTGAAAAATAGTGATTCAAAGTTAATAGATGGTGAGTTTCAACATAAAACTAGGGATGTCAGCCGGAAAAAAATGTGATGTAACGGGGATGTTTCAACAATGTCCATGTGGGTGTGTCCAAATATTGGCAATGGGGTATACCCCCAAATTTGCCATCAAAGAATGGGAATATGGTGGTAAAACATTGGAATTGGGAGTACCCCGGTTTCAGACAAATCCATATTTTGGTCTGCATGTTGACGTTGTCTTTGTCCATGCACCCAGATACCCTCTGGTAATTTAACATAGCTATGGAAAATCACCATTTTTAATGGGAAAATCCACTATATTAATGGCCATTTTCAATAGCTACGTTAAATTACCAGAGGGTACATGTCAATGGCCACTTCGTTTTTTGCGCAAAAACTCTCTTCTGGCTTGAGCCAACCACATTTTTTGGGCAACTGCAAGACCTCCGCTGTAACAACTTTAATCACTTAAATCCCAACTTCGGTGGTAAAACCTCAGTTTTTGTTAAAAAAACACCATTTTGGTTGGTTAGCAGGGCTTGGTAAATGTCCTAATTAACATCCACCCAACTATTGGGATATAATCTCCTCAAAATTCCCAAAAAGGGACATTGACCAACCCCTGCTTAAATCCTGATTTCCCATGTAAAAGACCTATTGGGAAGTCCCCTCGCTAGATGAAGCTCATAATGGGTTTCAGTCATCCCCACCTGCCGCGCTGCGTGTTCTCGGTCTTCCACGGTGGTGCCCTAACACGGACGGCCGTGGAGCAAGCATAGTCGCTGTACATTTATATACATAGATATACATATATATATATACATAAATATGTCGCTGTACGGCCGTATGTGTCATACCTACACACGACAAAAGGTCATGCGTAAAAGGAAGCTGCCTGCCAAGCCATAGCCCCATGGCCTCGAGTTTGCGCATGGCCACGATTTTCAGGAGCCGGTGCTGCCAGTGGATGTTGTACCTGAGAAGCCACTAACACTTCACCAATCCATTGGGAGATCTCCAGGATCCTAAAATGGAGGTACGTTAGTACCATATTTTTGGCCATTTTTTAGGGGGATATCCCCTGAAATTTAGGCCTGAACAATAGGCCTTACATATGGTAGGTACCTCCATTTTAGGATCCTGAAATTCCCATTGGTCCATGGTTATATTTAAAAAAAAAAACAAATACTTGGATTTGCTTAAGGGACCACCCAAAAATAAGATATGTAAAGATAAAAATAAAAATAATCATTTCTGGTGGATGTCCCATTGGGAAAAAAACGCTTAACCAAAGCCAGGAAAACAATGGTGCAAGGTGATAGTTGATTTGTAAACCCTATTGTAGTTTCACCTGCAGGTGATCTAAGGCAAACATCACAGAGAACCCACGGGTTTCTAGCTCCGAAGATACCTGATTGGGGGCTTGAATGCCAAAATGAAAAATGGTGGTACCCCCTGTTCATCATCCTTTTTTGGTGGTGATTTTTCCATGAAAACACCATCCAGCTCTTGGGGATCGTCAATTGTAGGAAGCCCCCAAGCGTAAATCAACTATAAATGTACTGATGAACTGTACTGATGTATCAGTACCAACCATAAACCCCAAGTGTAAATCGACTATAAATATCAACTATCTCAAAGTAGATAAAATATAGATAAAGTACTGATATATCATGATATATCAGCAGTAAATATCAACTATAAATCATCCATTTTTCATGAAACGACCACCTCGAATCTGCCACGACACATGGCCACTGGGCCCTTGCCACAATGGACCTCAGAATGGGGACTTCACTAGGGAACAAATATATATATATATCTGTGTGTGTGTCTGTATGTATGTATGTCTGTATGTCTTTCTGTCTGTCTGTCTGTCTGTATGTCTGTATGTATGTCTGTCTGTCTGTATGTCTGTCTGTCTGTCTGTCTGTCTGTCTGTATGTATGTATGTATGTATGTGTATATATAGGTATTAACTAGATTTAAACAATGACCATGGGTGATTTTTCTGTCAAAATGGAGATTTAAGTGGCTCCTGCTTTGATACAGTAAGTGCAAGATTTACCATGGACAATGCTGAGTTCACCGACCAAAATGGTGACTTAGTCATAAGCAATATCCCGTTGGGTGCCTGAAAATGGGGAATTGAAGCAACAAGGATGGAGATTTAAAGAATTACAACCACACTGGGGATATACCTGTGATATAGCGGGGATACAGCCAACAGTATGATACCACAAGAATTGTCAGTTTGATAGAATATACTGCAATAGAATGGGAGAAAATGAATATGCGTTGCATAACCAACAATATGATATTTGGGTTTGTCCCAAAATGAGGAGACCCTGACATGGCATGTTCAATTTCCAAAATGATGATCCACCATGGGATGCTGGGGCTCTCCCAAGATCTTCCGAGAAAGCTATGTCATGATCCAGATCTGAAACATACCCAGTTTCTATCAAGCAGCAGCCCATCATTGAACCCTGCATGACATCCGTGTCCAACCTTGTCACCCGAAAGGTGTATGTATGTATTTCACGTACAGTCCATATTTATGCATACATATACATATGTATGTGTGCTGCAATCATACGTTTCAAGTTGTATACACCTGTGTCTGTGGTGCTCGGTAAATAATCCTCAAAGAGCCCGGGCCAACCAGCAACCATTTGGATCATTAACGCCCAATTATGTACATACAAGCATACCCCCGTTCACAAACAGTTGAGTTGACCTGTTTACCCACAAATGCTAGTCAAACACACCATATACGAATTCTATAGTGACGATAATGCTCAGTGCGCAAATCTACATCAGCAGACTACTATGTAAATGTAATAAAACAAGAGTTGCCATGGGAAGAACCACAAAGGAATTCACGAACAGTAAAGGGATACACGAACAAAACCAACAGGAACAGCAACGTACCCAATAATAGTGTTAGATGCAACTACATGAATGGATGGCATTTCACACGATTGATGATGTGCACTATGATAATCAAAGTACATGGCTGGCAAATATATGTACATATACATATATCATATATATATATCATATATATATACACATACGTATATCATATATCATTATAACTATGTTCGTATATGTTTGTGTGTTTTTGAAAACGATATATGTAAAGAAGTCTTTGATTATATATGTATGACTGTTGATAAATAAGTATGTATTTATATAAGTATTGGATTTATATATATATGTATATAGTGTTTAACAAAATTATCATTATTATTATTGTTATTACTATTTAGTGTTGATCAAAATAAAGGTATCTGGGCCAGTTTCAATTGCCAATCAACCGCGAATCAACGGGTATCAATCGCGGAGTTGTATGTCGTATCCGACACTATTTTGCGCAGAGACTTGTCAAAACATGACTGCGTATCACAGCCTATAATAGACATGGCGTGAACCAGGGCCTACTCAGGCGGGCTGAACAATCGCGGATCGACCGCGAACCAATCGCGAATTTCATCAACATTTTCTGAAAATTGACATGGTCTGGCTTATGAGAAACTTTGTTGTTCTGATTCTTTGCTAGCGGCTATCACTATTGAACACAGGTTCCAGGCAAACTCGAATGTAAGTCCTAAAACAACTTGTCATGCGTATCATATTGGTGTCTCCTCTTGCAGTAGTAGTTGATTCTCATGACTCATACAACAAATGTGTGGGTGTCTCAATCGCGAACCAATCGCCGATCAATCGCGACGCTTTTACAATCGCGGATGTTGAAACACATGCCTCTTCATAATTCTTAAAGGTGCATTTACGATAGTATGCTCCCGTCCACCTATTTGGAGGCAAATATTTCGGGGAAGAAAACTCAAGTGAACATAGATTGGGAGATGTTCCTCCAGGGGAGCCATGATCAAAATATCCCATTGTGGATTGGCACCGATTTGGAGCCTAGAGGGTCATTAACCTACCTGGTTCATTGGGGATTATTCATTGGCCATTTCAGGTATCAAAAACTGGAGGTACCTACCATTATAAAACCATATGAAACCTATGTAAGGGCTATGTAAGGGCTATATAAGTGGATTTGCCCGCAAAACATGGCTTCATATAGTACAGATTAGTACACTACCTGAATTTTAAGGCGCAGAGATTCCCAGTATGAACTAAGCCACAACAGCTGGATACCAATGAACCAAGGTGCCCAAGCTCCTCCCAACCTGGCAACACGACGCAGCGGTGGTGCCCCGAGTTTGTTTGCGAAGTTGGTTTATAGCCCATGTGACTATGTAGTTGGCACTCGGGGCATAGACGGCCGTGTGTTTTTGATCCATCTTTTCCGTGGGTGCTATACGTTGCATAGTTTTCATGTTCCCTTCGAGCTCGCGCTTTGGAAAGCAATTTTCTGAAGACCTTGGCCTGGTTCCCCTCTTTCTGTTTAAGCAGCACTGGTCGCTGCTTGCATCGTCGTGCGTTGGAGGTTTTGGACATTGCACTGAAGTATGCTGTTGGCTCTGAGGTTGAAGTTGCGTACTTTTTCAACCCAATGGATAGCGATTCTATGCTGCATGGTGTTGACTGTAATGTTTGCACTTGTGCTTATCACGCCGTTGCCAGCTCCTTGTTGTATACACACATGGTCTGGTCAATCACAATATAACGCGGATTGCTCCAGTTGTGAAAAAGGAAAACTGAATTGATATCTTCGACCAGTGAACTGAAAGGACTGCACTCCAAGTAATTCAATCATTGAGCAATGGTAACCGATTAGACATGGAGTATCTAGGCAGCGAACATAAGCAAGTCTTCATCGCAGCTATGCTCTAAAGCCATATGGTCTGGTCAGCCTGATCATAGTTGGCAGCGACTACACTGTAAATTCAAGCCCGGGCTTCACACTCCTGACCTCTAGATCTGTCAAACAGCTTATACTTCCTGTTTTGGCCGCCTTGGAAACTATACATTCAGGGAAATGAGAAGAACAAAGATTCAATGTACATATACAAAAGATAAAACTGTACAAATTATATCAAGGGCCGCGAGTCCCCGTGTAACCAAAAACAAGCTGTAGCAATGGGATCCGATGGGCCTGGAGACAAAGGATCTTCGAGAAAAAGAACAACAAATCTCTTGAAAGAAACCTGGGACCTGGTGCAGCAAGGATGAAGGACTTATCCCGGCAAGAGACCCCAAACAGTGTGGGGGAAGTAGGAGAATAAAGCATTATAATGTTGATGATGATGATGATGATGTTGATGATGATGATGATGACGATGATGATGAGGATGAGGATGAGGATGATGATGATTATTATTATTATTACTATTATTTTTATTATCATGATACGGCCCAGATTGGGCCCAGAAACGCGGACATACACTTTGTGCGAGCCTGGGCAATCGAAATGCATGTCCACATGTCACAAGAGTCATCAGAAGAGCCACTTTATACGGATATTTACCAGAAGAATGCCACGGCCCAGAACGCGGACACACACTTTGTGCGAGCCTGCGCAGTCGAAATGCATGTCAAGATTTCACAAGAGCCACTTTATACAGAAATTTACAGGTAAAATGCTGCAGACCAAATGAAGCCCAGAACGCGGACGAACACTTTGTGCGAGCCTGCGCAGTCGAAGCGCATGTCAAGATTTCACAAGAGCCACTTTATACGGAAATTTACAGGTAAAATGCCGCAGGCCAGAGTGAGCACCCTGATCAAGCACCGGCCTTTATAGCTACCGTAAGAACCCCTCAGTGTGGACACACTTTTTGGGGGAAAACATAATTCGTTTTTGCGGTCGCAAAAATGAAGTAAACATAGAAATAAGAAAGAACAGAATAACCTTTTTGAAAAGGTGGATAAAGTCAACAATGGTTTCATTCAAGAATAACAAACATTATATTATAAAGATATGTAGCAGTACTGCAACAAACGCGTGGCACCGCAGAGATTTGACCAGCGGGCCGCTGGTATGTGCATGTCGTAAACACACGGCCGTCTGGCTGCCCTGGGTGAACTATTTCGATGTACCCTCTGGTAAACATAAAAAAAAATATGGAAAATCACCATTTTTAATGGGTAAATCAACTATTTCTATGGCCATGTTCAATAGCTTTTTGTATGTTTACCCGAGGGTACGATAACCATAAACCCAACGGTTCAGTTCTTGGAAGCCCTTTATCCCTCCCAGTTTTATTGGTTCTCCCCATCCTAGTGGCCCAAGTGGCCCAAGCACTTGGGGTGCAGTTCCACACAGCGGATGTGTAGCATATGTAGCCATGGTTTGAAGGGTACCATCCTAACTTACTTCTACGGTGGGTTTTCACAGCTAAACCCACAAATTGGGAGTTGAAACATGTTAAAATCCCAATTTTCTGACCATGTTTGAAGGTTCAAACAACATGTTTAAATCATGTTAGATCCAATGTTTGATGGTTGAACCCCAAATCTCAAGACTGTTTGAATGCTTAAAAGCCAATTCTTTCTGGCTTGAAGGTTTTCCACCAATTCTTGATCGTTATAGTCATATATATAATCCCCAGCTGCCGCAGCACCATCCCGCAGTTATAAATAATTTATAATCCCATGAAAACTAGTTCGATATATCACCAACAATAAACCATGGTGAGTTCTTGGACCAACATCAACGCACCACCCAGGCCCTGCAGGCCCTGCAGGCCGTGCCGAGGGACTTGCCCTTCTTCACCACATCGAAGCGGTACGGTGCTGCACGGTTCACGCGGCACGACTTCCCCAGATGCTCCTGGACCCGGAAGCGAAGGGACGAAGATCGCACTGGAGCCAGGGCTAAGGCTTGGGTAAGTATAGTTAAGTAGAGTTTATATGGGTTTCATATGGGTTTATATGGGATTTATGGTAGATATATCAAACTTTCGATCTTGGGAAAAGCCCATCTTTCTTCAATTCACTCCGCAAAAACCGGTCAGAAAATTTCTCAATGTGAGTGCATCTGGCAACAAAAAACGACATCAAACTATTTGTTTACAGGCGAATTCTACAGATTGCAACATCAACATGAAAACACCGAACTTCACCGAACTTCACCTTGGTATCCCGTGTATCCCGTCCCCTCCCAGGTTGCTCCCAACACCCAAGGAAATTCCAAGGCTTGGAAACAGCAAAAAAAAATGCCGCTTGGAGCAAGCCTGTCATCCTAACATTAGACATCCCCGTCCCATGGTCCCAAAAAGGTGCAATGCCCCACGAAAAAAACCATGCTTTGTGGGTGTCTAATATTTTCGCGGATGGGATAGGAAAATAAAACCCCCCAAACATTTGAAAACAATATCTCCCCAACATGTCAACAATTATCAACCATGACTTTCCCATCAAATCACCATTCAATCACCCGAAAAACATCACCAGTGTTTCAATTCCCAGAGCCTCGGAGACAGTGCAATAGGCTTTGGAGTGGAAGGTCGATGAGCCGCAGCTTGAAGTGCACCAGTTGCTACCTGAGCTGCGGTTTTAAGTGGTGCTGTTTCACCAACCCATTGTGGTTTAGCCAACAAAAAAATAGGCAATTTGACCAGCAATAATTGGGTGGAATCCAGCAGTTACTGAGTAAGATTGACTGGAGGGAAAAATCAGCAGGAAATCATGGCTGTTGGGCTCTAAATACTGTAGTGATTCAGACAGATCTGTCCTCAAAAACCAAAAACCAATTCTGGGATACGTGCAGTGGATGGATTCTCTAGCAAATCACATCAAAAAATATCATGATGTTGTCATGATGTTGAGCTTGGCTGTGGATCTTACACCTCTCAGCCATACCGGGATCCCATGAAAGACTGATTGGTTTATTTGTTTATAGCTAAGCCATGCTAAGCCCATGGTTCATCCACAATAAAACAATGTAGGCGTCATACCCAATCAGCCAAGCCGCATGCATCCTTCTCTTTCTCGGGCCAATAGGCAGTTTGACCCTCAGGAACTTCATCATCCACTTGCACTGTAGTGTTTCCGAGAATGTCTCAGTGATAAATGGTTATGGTCCATTTATGGTATTTTGTGGTTATGTAACCAGTTGTAGAATGTTATAGAATGTTATAGTCATAGTATGTCATGGAACCCCTCGTACAAACATGTTATGTACGCAAATGTATCCATTACTCCGTTGGACCAACAAATATGAGGAATGATGGTGCTTGTCGAGCCTACATTGGATGGCAAATGTGGCAAATGTTTGAAAAACATAGTTCAGAAAAAGGAAATCCATATTAATAGTTATCAATTGAAATCCATATTAATAGTTATCAATATTGCACGGCAAAATGCCCCTTTCGGAAAGAGACCACTGACAGCTAGGCATTTGGACCAGGCAACTTTGCTGGTCTAATCACAAATAAACCATAACAAACCCATGTTGGGGCGGGTGCCATCACTAAAACATGATGATCATGTTTGGTGAGCTCGTTGCGAGGTCGCTACGAGTTACCCTATCAAATGCTAATCCAATTGAAACAAAGTGTCCATTTTGTGGTACCGAAAAGGACTTTGACCTTCTCAAAATCTTGCAGGTTTGATGCACTTGGTCAAAAGGGCCAAAATGGACTTGTCTCAAAATAGCTTGCCCCTGGTTCTTCATCAAAGGCAGCTAATGCTGGTGGTCATTGGTACTGGGCTATATCCCGAAATGTGTAGTCCAGACAAAAGACCATGATCATCTTTCCCATTTCTTTGGTCAATTCCCATGTTTGCGTGCTACATGTACGCATATACCAGCGTATCCTACGTATCCAACGTCTAAGGGGTTCCTGATCCAGCTTCCCACAATTCACAAACTGTACGAACTGCAAGATGTGCGGTCGTATCATCCCAACGTAAGTAGATACTTCCAGACCAGGATGGTCAAAGCGATCACACAGAATGAAATGACCAATACTTCTGGGGGTTATATTTTTCCTAACCCGACCCGAAATGATTTCATTGGGTTGGCTTAAGGGAAGACCTACGAATGTCACCATAATACAAAAAGGTCCCCTTCGAATTGTTCCTTCAATTTTTAGATTGCAGCCTGGGGTGATACCTTCAAAAATTGGTCAGAATGCCCGTTTAAAAAAAACTACGTTTTGACAAATAAAACGAAGATGAACAATGGGATTTGGGGTAAGATGGGCACCCTATGTTCAAACAAACCCATATTCCAAGTTCCAGTTCCCGCCCACAAAATGTGTCACACTGTCTGTTGACAAAGAAGCATTGCACTCTTTGGCATCTTCCAGTCCTGGTTTTTAAGCCCAGAAACTTCGACGTGTACCCAGTGTACCCTTGCAGGTCAAACCAGAACCAGATACGATAGGATCATCAGTGGTTGGTGGTATAATTACCTACCCCTCTGAAAAATGATGGAGTCAGTTGGGATGATGAAATTCCCAACTGTTTCTGGAAAGTCATTCAAAATTCCATGGTTCCAAACCACCAAGCAGATGATCATGGATTGTCATGGTAGGTGGGGAACTCTCCATTCTCCAAGAGAATGGCGAGAAATTCTACCTATCCATAGCTATCCGAATTCCCCAGCTGGGCTACTCGGCTGCTCTGATTCCAGTTCCCATGAAGCCACCCCAGTTCCCCGAAAAACATCTCCGAAAATCCGCCAAAAACTCGGAGTTTTCAGCTGGATTCTGAAAACTGTTTTTTTCGAAAAATCATCATTTAAAATATTGAAAGTCCAAAACTACCATTTTGATCCATGTTGCTGGTTTTATTTGTTCATTTTTCAGCCGGTCGCCAGAGCCGCCATCGGCCTGGCTTCAGCACACAGAGGGAATAGTCGTCCAGACATTTCGGATCATTGTCACCGCGGCATTGTTCCTCACCAAAAAAGCCAGTGGAGCACCGTCAACTAAGAAGTTGGTTAAGCATGCACATATCCAAAGACCCAAAGCGCTTCAGCTTCTTATTGTAATGCATCATGTCAAACAGAGTCGGGAAAAATACTGCAAACAGAGGCCTTCCTGGAGAAGATTCATAGCCGGAATGCGCCGCTGGAACAGTCTACTTTACACCTATCGACATATGTAGTGCTTGACCATCCATCAGTGGACCTTCCTGCCTACGTCCTACGTGTTCATCGCATAAAATTGTCTTGTAATTTTGTTTTCAGATACAGTCTTAACATGTCCAATCCTTTTATACAGTGTATACAGTGTATACCTCGATACACTACACATGTTCAAGTGCAAATACTATGTGGAATCCACATATACCGTGTTTCGTGGTGATCAAACATGGCAATGGAAAATCCCATCCTTTTGCGATTTTCCCATCCAAGGATCCGCGGTGTTGGCATGAATCAACATCCTGCTCTCGACCTCGATTGGGAAGGCCCGAAAGATCTAACACCATAATGTACCAATAATGGGTTCATATCTGGTTCAATATCTATCGAATCTATCCATGGTTCATACACCATAGCAGCTCTTTACATGATGTTCAGGGTTCCAAGCCAGCCATGCAACCATTTACCACTGTTTTTTAGTAGAATATAGTGGAATGATATGATGGGAGAACCTTGGCCAGGAAAACAGGTCAGCCAGAAGGAATTGGGACCTGGGAGTCTCTGGAGAACCCGAGTTGACTAAGTGTAAACCCCATCGTTGCTTCGGCCTTTGTCATCGTTTGTCAACATTTTTTACGAGCCAGAAACTCGTAGAACCCCAGCAGTTGGTTTAGAGGTTCAGAACCCCCCCCAAAAAAAAGATACCCGGCCTGGTAAACTAAGAGTTTGCTATGGAAAATGGACCATTTATGAACGATTTACCTATTCAAAATGGTGATTTTCCATAGATATGTTAAATTACCAGAGGGTATATCCCATGTCATCCCCATTGCTAGGTAAATCCCAATGAAACCCTATGAAATCCCATTCAATCCCTATTCAAACCCATATAAATCACCCAAAAATCTGCTAGGATCACATCTTCTCCCCGGACGGCACGATTTTTCAGGCCCGAACCACTCCAAGTTCATCTCCCTCGGCACCAGCGAAAGCGCGACATCCGCAGCGCTGGGATTGTGATGATACCCTCTGGTAAACATACAAAAAACATCAAAAAACTATGGAAAGATCCACCATTTTGAATGGGTAAATGAACTATAAATGGGCCATGGAATTTCCTCACTGGGTGTTTTTTATACGAAAATGATTTTCACTGGACCTAGTCATGGCGACCAGTTGACCAAGCCATGAATTTCCACCAGGGAATGGTATAGAAACAACGTTGAAATTTGATGACTTCGAAGTGGCATAATGAGGTTGGGCGGTGGCAACCCCCTGGAGTGAGGTTCAGTTTTCTTCTGGTGAACAAAACCTAGGATGGTCACTCTGTTTTGTAGCCAGAAGGACCGCTTTCGTGCTGATTGTTTCATGTTGTTTCAGGTTGTTCCACAGGTCGTGACACCCCTACAAACGTTGAAACAACAGACAATGTTCTGTTCCCAAGACAAGTGGCTTGTGATTTAAAAAAAAAAAGGCCGAGGGGCTGCGAGGGTAAGACCCCGGCCCAAACAGTATGCAAAACCAATTGGTTGGTTGTGAATTCCCGTTCTTGGATTATGATCATCCCCAATATATTGGCTAGTAGAATCCCTAAAATTTCATCATCAACCAACCATCATTTATCAGTCATATCAGTCATATTCACTTATTTGATCCCCATATTTCATGGTTAAAAAAACCCTTTTTTTCGTGACTATAATCATCAACCAACTGCTCAGCCAAGGAACTGCATTCTGGAGACCAGCCGTTTGCGCAACATCTCTCAACCTCCCAAAACTTGAACAAGCTCCGAGAGATGAACAAAGCGTGGACACACTGGACACGTCCGAAAGATGTCACCAAATAAAGTGCGTCAACTTTATATGTTTATAAGCTGTTCTGGGAATATATATATATATGTATGTATATATATGTATATATATATATATATTGTTTCTTGCCTCATTCTTCATGTTGGTTCTACTCATTTTGCGGAGGCGTGAATTGATGTGTCAGCTGAAAAACATGAGGTCCTGAAGTGTTTTGTGCTTCATTCATGATATATGTCTATGTATATGTATATATATATATGATGTTTTTAAATGCCTCTCAAATCGTCCAAGCAAACGTCCCAAAGGGAGATAGTCCAGAAACAGACTGACAGGCACCTGAATAAACGCATTGTTTTAAGCCCTTGAACAAATTTCCCAATTTTAGTGCTTCTCCCAAACGTCCAAAGGAAGGTCAGTTGATTCAAATTCACACCAGTTTCCATCTCAAAGTTGAGTCGCAATGTTTTGCAGGCAGTTCCAATTGAGATTCGGTTCAAACCCCTTAAAGTTAGTTCAACTCAGACTCAAAATACGTTTTAATTCAAACTTCACCAGAATCAAACCAGCCAAGATTCCGACTTGAAGTCAAGTCAAATTCAACTCAATTTCAGTTCAGTAAATTCAATATCAAACCAGCTCAAATTCCATGTCAAAGGTAAGTCCAAGCATTTAAAGTCAGTTCCAGTTAAAATTCCATTCCATTCTATACGTAAGGTAAACTTAATTCAAATTTGCTTCAAAGTCAAACCGACTCCAAAATCAGTAAAATTCAACTAAGTTCGTGCAAATTCGAACCAAACACAACCCAAAGGAAAAAAAAAACTGTTCAACATCCAAATCTGTCTCCATTGATCCATTGCTTTCCATAACTCGTTTCTCAACAAAGAAATGACAGAGGAAACCAGATATCTTGAGGATTGGAGTCACCTTTATCAGCCATTTGTCAGCTTTCGTGTCGTGAAAAACTGCTCACACCTTCAATCCCGGAAAAAAAAAATGTCGGGCAAATCCATCGTGAAGTGAGAAATAATATGTCTTTTTAAGTTGCACCAGATTTGCATTCTGCATCCCTCTTTCTGTTGGTTCAATACCCAAGCCTCTGCATTCTCCAGGTGGCTGCCTGCAACTGCGAATGCATGGGAGGCGGCAAAAAATACGTGAAAGTCATGGGGATCAAGCAGAAATCAGCTCTTTTTATCATGGCTAACAATGCGTTCAATGAGAATAATCTATCAATCTAGTTCTATGAAATTGGGAATGGGTTCAATTTGTTTTCAATGAGATTTTGTCCAGCTCACCCTCTAAGATTGGCAAAGGGTGTAACAATCCAATAATCGTATATGTACTCCAGTCTAGTGCCATGAGTATAGGCAGAAGGCTTTAAGCCACGAAAAATCCCACTTACGAGTTGCTAAAGATAAATCCCATGCACGAGTTCGATAGATCGACAATCAACCCTACTTATGTTAGCTATAAACCAACCTAACCATGGGGCCATAGGGCACCACCTTGTATTTCATATCTTGACAGCTTCACAGCTTCCATCGTCACTCCCAGCCGCTGCCTTTTGAACTGCCCAAAAGCACGTTCATTTGGGGCATGGGTCAAAATTTTTGGTGCCCATGGACCTACAAATGGCCTGTAATTTTTCAGGACCGAAAAATTTGAATCATGCATTCTGGGGGTAGAGTGATCTTGACCCACACCCATGGTGGCTCAAACAATGCTAGTTGGCGGTTTCAACCCCTTGAAAGACATGAAAGTATTTGCGGATTGTCGCACAAGATTGGGATGGGAATCTAAACATGTTTGAAACAAGCAGTCACCGACCAGATTGTGTGAATGTGTGTGTGTGTCAAACGTAGGGACCCTATGAAACAATCCCTCATAAATCATCATTATATTTTTGCAGCGAGTTTCTCTTCAAAGGTCGCACTAATCTCCCTATCCAGGGAATTGCACCCAGATGACCCTTGTTTTTGGTGGGTTCTCCCACCAACCAACGTAGCAACAAAAACTGTTTCGTTTTGTTTCATGACCAACAAATCTTGGGGTAATACCAACAAAGCCAGGAATGTGTCAATATGTATATATATATATACATATCTATACAGTATACTGCTATTAGAAGAAGGACGACCAACAGCATCAAACCAGTGAAGCTTCGGGCAGAAGCCTTCCGTGGCCCTTTTACTGGTTCTAGCTCACAAATTGCAATTGAACCACTTTGTATAACCCTAGTCATGAGCCAAAAGTGAGGACATTCCAGTTGGCCATGTTTGATTAGTCCTATCCACTTTATATAATATATGAAATACCCTCTAGAGCCCTGTTGCGGTATTTGATCTATTCATTTGGCGGGTCCCTTTCTGGGGTGCACTTGATAATGGAGCAAATGGATGTCCATTACTGAATCATTATTTTTATCACTATCATCAAGTGATAACAAACAGTAAAATAACATAACATTATCAACTATTATTATCACTATTAGTGTAATGTTATTCCTATATTCATATTGTTGTTACTATCACTATTATTGTTATGTTTACCATTGCCATGATTGCTCCTATCAAATTATTACTCTTATGATTGTTATCTACCTGGTTGTTACTGTTACAATTCTCTGATGATCTACTGCATCTACTGTAGTTACTGTTACAATTCTCTGATTATCTACTGCATCTACTGTAGTTACTGTTACAATTCTCAGTACCCTCGGGTAATCAAACAGTTGGCAACCGACAATCCAGCATAACTGGCTATTTTCATTTGGCAATGATCGAACCAACTGGAGATTTTCCAGCAAACCATGTGACTGATTACCATAGCAGAATCTCTATAAAAAGAGCTGGCTGATCTGGCTGAAGTCTACTAATTCACTTTATACCATAGGCCTCAAAATTCTGATCATGTCAAGGACATTTGGGATGATTCCCCGAATCCAATTCCCATTCCAACCATTATTAGTACTATTCTTCATATTGCGTAGTTTTTCCTATTACCATTCTATCCCTATTGTTGATGGTTTACCACAATGCACCAATAATGGCTCTCCAGCTTTGACGGCAAAGTCTGGTTGAAATCACCAGCTCAGCAACTCAGCCAGTCGCGCTTCCGCCGTCGCAGCACTGCCAACGCGGTGACGCTGATGACAGCAACCTGTCGGACCGATGTGAAGATGGCACCCGCCATAGGCCCCCTTTAAACAGCTAAGTTGACTTATGATTTGGTTATATAATCAATGGGAAATTCAGGATCCTAAAATAGAGGTACGTTAGTACCATATTTTTGCCCATATTTTCTGGGGATATTCCCTGAAATTTAGGCCTGAAAAATAGGCCTTATATATGGTAGGTACCTCCATTTTAGGATCCTGGAATTCCCATTGATATAACTAGTTAATGGGTTTATAAACCAACTTACAACTGGATAACTGGTGATAGCATAAGCAACAAAACTGCTGGAACCATGGGAATCTTATAATGGGAATATTAAATCCATGGGATATCAGTGGAATATGGGCTAATATCCTTTGGTAATGCCTAGCAGTTTGCCGTCGAAACTGCCCCATTTACAAATATTCATGGTCATTTTCCACGGCGACGTTGGATTGCCAGCAGGTAGCCGAGAACGGAAGATCTAGCAGCCAACATATCCAAAAGTGGTTTTAAAGCGGAAATGTTACCCTCTGGTAAACGTTTACATAACTATGGAAAATCGCAATTTTTCATGGGTAAATCATCAACTATTTCTATGGCCATGTTCAATAGCTATGTTTGTTTACCAGATGGTACAGAACATCCTTATTTCCTACTCTTCAAACAGAAGTTTCTGGGCCAGGTCTTGCCAAGTTGGATCTTATGGTTGATGTCGGGAATCTTGTTATGGCTATGTCCTCTGGTAACATTGGCAAACAGCAATAGGGTGCAGGAAAATCCACCATTGATACATGCCAAAAAGTTGATGTCTGCATCGTGAAAAAAAAACATTTTGGGAGTTCAATCCATTACAGAATTTATTATAAGATATTGGATATATCATCCTTAATTAAATAAATTATACTATATGTCCATGTCATAAATATGTATATATATATATACATATTCTATTTTACCATGTCCGGTATAGATATATGCATTACCCTCTGGTAAACGTTTACATAACTATGGAAAATCACATTTGTTTTATGGGGAAATCCACTATTTCTATGGTCATGTTCAATAGCTATTTTGACATAACCAAAGGGTATAATGTTATATCAGTTATATCATATGTTATATTTTTTTAATACATGATTCTGTATTTATGAATATTTATGACCTAAGATAATCTCTCATGATATATCATATATCAATACACACATGCACACACATGTTATATAGAACCATTTTTAATGGAGTTTTCCAGATGGAAAATGCATCGCTGCCAAGTTACCAGGATCCACTTGGCCGGGCTTCGTCGGCGGCTCTTGGCCTTGTAGCGGCCGATGGGCGCCTGGCCTAACCTGGGCCAGGTTTTTTGCGGCAGGGGAATAGCTGGGCGTATAACCCATACAATATATGTCTTTTTTATTATTTATTTATACGTGTGTATATGTATATATATATACGTATATATATATATACGTATATATATATATATATGCATGCATATACAAATATATACATGTGTGCATGTGTGTGTGTGCATGTGTGTATTGATATATGATATATCATGATAGGTTATCTTAGGTCATAAATATTCATAAATACATAATCATGTATGAAAAAAAAAACATATGATATAACGGATATAACATTATACCCTCTGGTAATTTAACATAGCTATTGAAAATGGCCATAGAAATAGTGAGTTTTCCCATTAATAGCATGGTGGATCTGTCCATAGTTTTTTGTAAACGTTTACCAGAGGGTAATATTTCCCCTTTAAACCCACTTTTGGATATGTTGGCTGCTAGATCTTCCGTTCTCCAGAGGGTAATATTTGAGGATATCATCATTGTGATATGTATCAAACTGACATGCGTAAAAATCACCCCTTTGAAACCCTGAGATTCAGAACAAAAAAAACGGCTTTCCAAAGACTACGGGCTGACCACCAAATGATCATCTGATTATAATGGTTATAATGGTTATAAACTATTATGGTTATAATGGTTAATAACCTCTTATAAACTTATCTGATTGGTGGTTGAGCCCTACCCCTCTGAAACATGATGGAGTTCGTCAGTTGGGATGAATATTCCCAATATGATGGGAAAAATGTATTACAGTAAAATGTTCTAAACCACCAATCAGTCATTGACACCAACGGACCAAACCCATGCCTAAAAGATGTGTAACTTCTGCACGAGTAGGGCCCCCTATACATTTTTATATATACATATGTACAGTATACATATAGCATATCCCATGACATATCCAATGGAAAATATCCCATGAAATCCCCTTTTTTTTTGACGATCACCGACGATCCCAGAGGCATCTGCACTAGGTATTCCCTCCACTCAAAGATGGCCAATGCCTCGAGCGTCGCCAGCCTCGAGTTCGCGCACCGAAAAAGATAGATCAAAGACAGTACAGTAGATATATGGTTGGTGGTATACCTACCCCTCTGAAAAATATGAGTTCATCAGTTGGGGTTACTATTCCCAACTGAATGGAAAGTCATAAAATTCATGTTCCAAACCACCGACCAGTACAATAATATATCTGGGTAAATGAAATAATATTTCACTAACCTGAATTGTTGGGCCATAAAAGGGGATGATTTCCCGAATCCTAACCATGATTCCAGGCTTCGGGAGAACAGTGAGGTCGTGATGAATTTTACCTAGATATATGTAGATATGGAGATTTCCTGAAATCCCCAAAACCATAGGGTTTCAAATACTAAAATCATCTTATTTCAGATGATTTGGGGTTACCCCCATTTTACGAAAACGTCCTATTGGTATTGCTAGAAAAATCCAATGATAAAATGGTGATTAAACACTGTAGAACTATCTGTCAATTCTTTTTGGACAATTGAGAACGTCTAAAAATTGAATAAAATTGATAGATTTGAATAGAATTCTCCAATTTATTTCATGCCTTGATTGTTCCAAGCATGAAAAGTCATTGATTATGAAGGGATTGTCCAATGCCGATTTTTGCACAGTGCTTTCCGGTAGAAATGCTGTGAAGATAAAATCTAGGGAAACCATGCAAGTGCCAAACATTTGGGTCACCAAAAATAAAAGTACCAGTCAAAGCCAGTCAAATTGGATGTATATACTATAGATCGCAATCTAACTCAGTTTTGAGGGTGTATAGTATAGCCCAAACAAAAAGGTCAATGGAGAAAAAACGCGTCTCAACGGCAAAAAACAAAGCGGTTGACCACATATTTGGTGCTTTCCAGTGTATGTGACAAACTTAAAACCCTGACAATACACAATCAAAAACTTGCTGAAACCACCAACTCTTGGAAAAATAAAGCTGTGAACCTTACATCATGTTGTTCCACCTTGTTTAGCAGCTAAGCAGCTCAATCAAACCCTTGAAATGATGGATTTGTTTCAGCCAAAATACTCTTCCAGTTCCGATTGACTTCCCATGAACTCCTCGCGCAAAATGACCTGAAAGAGCAGGGGGAAGGCTGACCTTTGAAAAAAGACACTTTGTCTATTCGATTCTACCCAAGTTTGATTTGATCTTGGAGTCAATAGATTGGTTTCAGGGAAAACGTACAGTTGTTCTCATCAGATCTGGGACTTTCTGTAAAATTGCCCTTAAAACAATCCAATGATCATCTGTAAAAGGATATTTCAGGTGGTTTTTCCGTTGCAGCTTAGAAGGTCTCCAGCGATAGAATTCCAAACAGACCTGCCAGGAAATTGCAACCGTTTGAACCACCAGTGATTGGAATTCCCAGAAACCACCCAAAAGGGATTCCCAGATGGATTGTGATAATCAATGGGAATTCCAGGAACCTAAACTGGAGGTACCGATTTATATAAGGCCTATTGTTCAGGCCTAAATTTCAGGGAATATCCCCAGAAAATATGGCCAAACATATGGTACTAACGTACCTCCATTTTAGGATCCTGGAGATCTCCCATTGAAATACAGTAATCCTCAAGATATTGGTTAGGATTGAGTATAATCCCTGAACTAGTCATCAGCCAACAGGGCTTTTGAACATTGCTGATCTGACAACAACAACAACAACAGCAACAGCAACAGCAACAGCAACAACAAGAACAAGAACAAGAACAACAAGAACAATCCTCGCGCAACTTTTGCCTGACCACTGGCCTATTTCATCAAACGTGGCAATTTTGCCGAAATTCCCGAACTCAATGGCAAAATCAGGGAAAATCCTCGAAGTAAAAATGGTGGATTGCTGTCAAAAGAATCAACCAATGTTCAACCCCAATGACTTGGCCTTGCTGTTGGTTATCTCCCAAAGTTGCTTAACTTCCCTGTGCTCTCATCCCCCAGGCATGGTTTCTGGGGGTGTATTTAAGGGATGAACTGGGGATGGGATTATTTCAACTTCCATGAATATTCATATTCCATACATAAATCCCATTCAAACCCATTATAGTATCAATATCCCCTTAATATCCTATCAATATTCAACTTACGTATATTTCATACTGTATTAGGGCGAAAGCATACTATCCCCTCAACATTTCTGGTTGACGGGTTGACGTCAGCAAAACCCCCCGCAAATCCCATTTCCTTCACTTCCAGGCGCTGGTGTCTTCAGATCTTTTGCAGCTTTTCGGCTTCGGAGGAGGTACTGCATCACGGCCTTGTCGTTGCCTCGTGAAGCAAAAAACACTGGATATTTCCCATGTGTTCATGGCGATGTCAGGAGCAAAATGGAGGTTGAACCAACTAAAATCTGGATCTGTCTGTCAAAAGTGGCGATTTTGCTTGGAAAAATGGTGATGGAATATATCATGATAATATGCGTATGTGTATATATATATATAAATATACAGATACATGTGTATATATATATGGCCATGAAAGAATGAGAAAAATGATCTTGAAAACCAGTTGGTTTTGATGGTTTTCCCGTGCAGACAAACCCCACGTTGACGAAATGCAAAATGGAGTGTGAAATGAACGTTGGGAGGCTCTTATATAAGTGCAAAACTTTCGTATACCCAGGAAAAGTTCACTAGTCACAACTAACCAATGAAATTGGGATATGAAACGAAATTTAGTGGTGACTTTACAGTTGTGGCAACTCCGGTTATCACCTGATGGGAGGACCTGGTCACATCCAAAAGACCACTGACCAACCATTTATATACAATACCTCTACCCTTTGGTAATTTAACATAGCCGTGTTTTTTTTCCGCCATGTGTAGATGATTTCGTGATTTCGTAATTTAGCTATGATGGCCATGTTCCATCAATGGCCATTTTAGGAACCTAAATTGGAGGTAGCTACCATATATAAGGCCTATATAAGGCCTATGTAAGAGAATATCCCCAGAAAATATGGCCAAACATGGTACTAACGTACCTCCAATTTAGGATCCTGAGTCATTCCCGTTGATGAAACATGGCTATGTCAGGTATAACCCAGCCACGGCTACGTCCAAGTGGCCATAGATCAAATGGCTAACCCGAGACAAAGTCCACTCGGGGTGCGGCCGTTCCACGACTTTCCTAGCAACGGAGCATGCCATAGTTCAGAGACCTCCATGAACAAATCCAGTAACACTAAATATAACTACATCTATATTATATCATGTGTATCTACAGCATATATATATACATAGATATCTATATATATATCATAGTGTGTATATATATATATTATATAGTATAAATTAGTATAGTATATAGAGATAAAATTGCAGTAGATACAGCAAATAAAAATTGCAGCGCTTGGGATGAAAAAATGGCCTGTCGGCCTGGTGATAACCTACGAAACGTGGAGAAACGTCCCCAGACTTCAAGTTGGTTAGATGATATTAGGAACTGTTAGTTATATGAAGTGAATGATTTTTGGAAAAATGGAAGTTGATTGCAAACAACACAGTGCCTTTCTGTTGATTGCTCTTTGTAGTCGTGATTCTGATGTTGAGCTCCTGGCTGTGTGCCAGATGGTACGGGGGTCTCCAAACAAAATAGAAAGAGTTCCAAGAATGATACCCTCTGGTAATTTAACGTAGCTATTGGAAATGGCCATAGAAATAGTGGATTTTCCCATCAAAAATGGTGGATCTGTCCATAGTTTTTTGTATGTTTACCAAGAATGATAAACTGATCATCACGGCAAACCTGTCAGTTCTCCAACTGTTTCATCTACAAATTGGCGGTTGGAATAGCTGCAGGTGCAACGGCTACGCTGAAAAAAGGCCCACTGTTATTGAGGTTCTAAAACAGTAAACCCTGAAGCCCTAAACCCTAACACCACTGGACGTTAATATACAGCATATATCCATATGTGTATGTGTATGTATGTATATATATATCCATATCTATATATATATATATGATTATATATTATGGAGAAACAAAGCTAGAATTCCCATCCCAAGCATCACGAAACTCGGCCGAGTTTCAAGACATCACCTGGGCCAAGTGGTGTCAGACATCCTTCCAACATGATTTTGATGCTCTGAATCAAACATACTGTGGATGGAAGAAATATGATATAACAATCTATGATATATGTTTTAATGATCTATAATATACATATGATCTAATCTATGATATAACATTGACAACAATCCTGTGGATGGAGAAATCCTGCACCAGTTGAAAACGGTGGTAAACATCCCGTTAATTATAGGGTTTCAACCTGTATCTGGCTGGTGGAGGAAAAAAAACACATTGTGTCTAGGAGAAAAGCATGGAAAGTCACTCTTTGGGGGAATCCAGAATGTGGCAAACCCACAAATTATCCCCAAGTACCATTTTTATGGCTGCTACAAACCATCCCCAAATGGTAGGAGCATGATTGGGGATTCCCCATTGTATTTTTCGAATGGGAGAATCACCGATGAGCATAGATGTGGAAGTTTCCACTGGTCATAAATTCCTCGTGGCCTGCAACGCCCCATCACTCCGACCATTACCAGGGGGTCAAATGACCGACATCAAAGTAGTGATGATCCACTGAGTCACTTCATTGGGATGTTCATGTCAAAGTATGGACAGCGTAAGAAGCTGGATCTTTTGCAGAAATGGACCGGCTAATGGATGGGTCATTTTTAGTAAAGCAACTCGCTCTTGGGTACCCAATGTGACCCTGCAAAAATGCAGAAAAGTGAAGACTCCAGCTTGCAAAACGGGTGGTAAATGGCGTTTTCATTTTTTGAGGGTTACTCTCTATGGCTTTGTCTGAGAATACGATACCCTTAAAAGCCAAAGGTTGATCCTCATTTTCCTCCAAAATATGTTTCGGGGTTATCCCCCATCAGACTAACCTACGCTCCGTTACGCTCCACCCAGATTTCGCTGTAGATTGCCATCCCAGCAACCGTCTTGAATGTCTCCCTTGCTCAGCGTGCGCAAGAAGAATCCTGCAAGGCCAGTCCTGGCGCAATGTGCGCGTACCTCAAGAGCGTGGTCGGCAAACATTCGGAGCGTTCAAAAACTGACTTGATTTGAGGCAAATGTTGCAGGAAACCATACTTTTTCACGAAGAACTCTTGGGATGTCCTCCAAGTTTTTGCTGAAAAAACATTCTTTGAGATCGGATGCACCGCAGTGGCACTAAGGCAGGTCCACCTTATGCGGACCTATGAATCCAGTTGTAGAATCTTCCCTTAAAAAAAAAAAACTATGTACTTCAACTGGTTGGTGGTTTTAACATGTTTTAACCATCTTGAAAAATATGAGTTCGTCAATGGGAAGGATTATTTATCCCATATATGAAATGGAAAATAATCCATTCATGTTCCAAACCACCAACCAGTCAATACTGTACACTTCAATCAGGGGGACCCGAAAAAATGAATGGATGCATCACCACCCCGGCTGTAGGCCGCTTCCACAGTTGCCGGGCTGCTCCATTCAAGGTGCAGGTCTTGCCTCAGCGCAATGCCGGCAACCCAAAACATGGTAGGAAAGTACAATCCCTACTCAAAACAGTGTTTGCTGTAGTAAATTACTTCTCCAGTCTTTTTGGTGACTTACCATATATAGAGATATAGATATATCATATGAAATCACCCATGTTTCCCCCTGTCTGTATCATTTACCTATCGCAACAACTATCGGACCTCACGTGACCTCTACCTCTGCTCCACCTGTGCCAAGGTACCCAGTTTTTCATCCACTTTGCCGCAGGGGCACCTGGGACTTGCGATCTGCAACCTGACGATCCGAGACAAAATTTCAATGAAAAAACTGGTGCCTCGATTTGGGATGATGACCCCAAACTGGGATGGTTCATTATAGGCTTTACATGGCTTTACCACCTTGTTGATGGTTGATTTAAGTGATGTCCATTGCATCAAAGTTGGTCATCGAAAAAACCTGGCAATCATGGTGGAAACAAATCCCAAGAATGCCCTTTGTATGTGATTTCAACACCCCATCCCCATTCCGGGCAACATTCTGACCATAAATCTGGGATGTAAATAGCCTGGCGTATGAAACTAAACATCCAAAACGCCCATGCCAATAGCCATAGCCCATGAAACTCAACTTGAGGCCTGGGATATAGGTGTGATTGAAAATTCAGTGCCTCTAGATCCAGTTCTTACAAACCTCATTTTCCCTGTCAGAATTGCCATTCGAGGTGTCAACCCCATTAGCCGTTCTGGTCCAAGACCAGGGCGTGATCCCCGGATCTCCCAAGTCACCAACGTTCACGATCGTGGGGGCTGTTACGAACAGGTGGGTTCAACCAATGGTGGCATTGCTTTTCTTTTTGTTCTGGTATCCTCCTGCAATGTTCAGCTTTTGGAAACCACCTTTTCCAATTAGCTTTCTTCCCCCCGGGGTACATAGTTTGCCTTTTGCCGCGTTTGCGGTGCAGTCGCGGGCCATGGATTCCTGCCTCAATGACCATTCTCCGGAATCGCAAACCTACATGGCTAGAATCTTTGTGAAAGGCATTCCAGGTACCCGGATGATCAGTGCGGATGCGTCCTGGTCCATTGAGGAGGTCAAAGAGATTCTTCACTGCAAAGGTGATGTCAGACTTGCCACACATAGCCGTCAGCTTGCTCCTCATGAATTGATCCGGGATGTGTACCCGGGTGGTTGTGGTCACCTCCTTGTGCTACCTCGCTTGCGGGGCGGTGGGAAGTTTGCTACTTGGGAAAGCACGGCAGCCCGTCAAGGCCTTCGAGTTGCAGACTTGGATGATTTGATCTTTCCTTCTTGGGAAGGTGAATGCCGAATGGAGCATTGGCCAATTTCCATGGTTGAGGAGTCTTCTTGTGGCATCTCTTTTGCTACAATTGCATCTGCAGAGAAGGTTTCGGATGTGAGGACAGTCGGTCCTCTTATCCTGGTCATCAAGGGCTTTGACAATGAGAGGCTGGCAAAAATGGGTTTTGGGCCAGAAAGGCTCATTTGCACAAATATCGGAGTTCGAGATGAAGTAGCAAAGACCACTGAACTTAGAGCAGTTACTTTGGTCAACATGAGTGCTTCAGAAGATGACTTCGTTGAATTGCCAAAAGCCGACCATCTGCTCAGCGTTCAAACTGTGAACAGAATGCCGGTTTTTGTAGAGTTGAGACAGTCTGATGCAACTTCGAAAGACTGGACTGACCTCAGCAGCAGTGAGGCTTTTGAGGGATACGTCCGTATTTTGCTCCAAAAATGTGGCATGTGCGAGCAGACGGTTCGCTACAAGCCTTTCTCCCGGCAAGGCTATTGGTGCCAGCGTCTACAGATTCCAGCCGCTCACCGTGATCAACTTTATCGCATGTCAGGCCTCTCAAGTGTCCAGATCCGCGCAGTTCGTTCAATGACGGATCCTGCGGAAAGTGGGCTTGAAGTGTTGCGGATTGATGTTGACAAGACATTGGCTGTCCTGGCCGAAGAGTGCAAATTGAGTGGTGCTCTTGGATTTTTCCGGTCTCAAGGCAAGACATTCTTCCGGACATCAGATCCGACCATCGCTGCAGCAAGAAAGTTCTTCTATCCGGATGATGAAAGGTTCACCGTCCAGAACATTGGCATCAAGATGAAGCATTTCTATGTGGTAGAGGGTTTTCCCTTGGGGGTGGCTATCCGGGAGGTGACCGAAGCTTTGGAAAGCATCGGTTGGATAGCCATCCCGGTTCGCATCACGAACCTCCGACAATTGTCCAGGGTTCTTGCGGCAGGGGCAGACCCGCCTGCCAAATTGAAGTATTCAACCAGCATTGGCATGCTCCATTTGACTTTGGCCGAGAAGCCGACTCCAACTCAGAAGGGAAGTGCCGTCATTGCTCCTACTCCGTCCCGGCCACGGTCATTTCAGCAGACCCCTGCCAGCAAGGAATGGCCCAAGAGGGAGAGAGTTGCTCCACCGCCCATATCTACACCTTCCACGGTGTCCTCATCTTCAGGACAAGTCAGCCAGAATGCTCCATCAACCAGCCTGGCCACACGGGTCACGCAGCTCGAAGCCCAACTTGGCACAGTTCAGTCAGATGTGAAAGGGCTCCGTACCAGCCAGGAGATGCTCGAAAAGAACCTTGTGGACCTTGGCCATCGCCAAGATCGGGGATTCACAGACTTGATGGCAGCCATCCAGGCCTTGAGCGCAGAGTCCTCTTCATCTCAGAAGGCATCACCGGCAAGAAAGAGCTTGAAGAAGTGATGGGTTCTTGTACGAAACCGGCATTTGAGGCGCATGTGCCATGTCCGCTGGCGGCTTTCGATGCATTTCCAGCGTTGCTGAGCATGTGTAAAAGATTGTCGGTGGTTATTTTGTTTTTTCTGCTTCACGGCGGTGCTTGGTATGTTTTGTGGTTGATGTGTTGTTTGAACCTAGCTGGCTGGATGTGTGTCAAGCCTAGGAACTGCATCCGGGCAGCGTCTGTGATCCATTTGCATCTTCTGAAAAAGCCATCCTTGGTTGTCCTTTCTAAGAGGGAAGTCCCCCGAGGTAAGAGGAGTTCTGTTAGTGCCAAAAAAGTCCGCAGACTTCTCCGGGCAAATCGGATCAAATTAAGATGCTGCCTCGTTAGATTGGGACTGGCGGGGTTAATTCATAATTCTTTTTCACCCAGCACTTTCAACGCCTTCTGGTGCAACGATGCTATGTGCACTGGAAATGCAGGGGCGGGAAATCAAATTAATCACATTTCATTGCAGAGATCGCGAAACGCTTCACTAAGCGTATGGTCTCTCAGCGAGAGCAGGAAATGTTGCATTTGTTTCTTTGATTTGAATTATGTCCATTGTGTGTCGTCCTCTGTGGTCCTTTGGTCTCTTTTCTCTCCGTGCAAAGGTTATCCCGGTGAAGGCCCTCTTTGCTTTGGTTCTGCTAGTGTTACTTCTTTGGGTAAGAATGTGAAAAGTGTTGTTGCAATATGTGCTGACGAAACCACTCCCGATTTCATGTGTCTCCAAGAGACACGACTTCACCCTCTCAAAAGCAAGAATCTTGTATCCAAATTGCGAACGGAAGGCTTTACAGTTTTGATTGGCCCTCAGCCGGTCATTAAGAGGACTGTTAGCCGGCTTCATGCACCTTGCCGACGTCAAACACATGGGGGGATCGCGATCCTGGCCCGCAATACTGTAGCTTTGCAACCGCTCTTAATTCCTCAAGATTTTGGCTTGGAAAAAGCTGCGCAGGCATGTACTTGTACAGCTGGTTCTTTCACTTGTCGAATCATCAACGTATACCTACCCTCCGGTCAACGCCATGTTTCAAAGAGGTCTGAGATTATGACTCAGGTATTTCTGTTTGCGGCTAGTCTCGGTGATGGTCCCACTTTTATTTGTGGTGATTTTAACTCTAGCCCCTCAGCCAACCAAGCTATTTCAGAGGCGATTCGTACCGGAGAGTGGGTTGATGTCATTGCAGATGAGTATGCTGCTGCCAACCTTCCACCTCCATTCACGTTTCAGAGGGGAAAAGGGAGGCGGCGGTGTATGTCCCGTATTGATTATGTTCTTGCCAATAGTGATGGCTGCACTTTCTTCAAGAAAAGTTGGATTCAACAAAAATCCGGCCTTCCTGATCATTGCCCGGTTGGGCTTCATTTGGTGATTCCTAGCACTGTCGGCAAAGCTTTTACAATTCCTTCCAGTTCAAGACGTATTTTCCCACCAAAACCTAGCTGCCTTGACCAATGGGCCCAAAGGGATTCCATATGTGAACCTATACTCCGTGAGTTTGCCCCGAAAGTGGCAGAAAGTGCCGAATCCTTAGATGTGGAGCTTACTTGGAGCTTGGCATGCCAGGCTGTATCATCGATGTTAGATGCTATTTCCGGAAGCGCTGGTGTTCAGAAAGGTTTTTTCCCCAGGTTTCAGGTCACCCCTGTTGTAAATAAGCCCAAAGAAGTCGCGCTTCGAACAAAGCGAATTGCTCGCATCTCTGCTCTGTTCCGGGAAATGATCAGAAAGGCTTCTGTTTTTGAGTCCAATATTTCCTTTGCTTGGCGAAATTCTTATAATCAAACCCTTCATAAGTTGGAGCGTGAACTCCAGGCGGTTTGCTTTCCTTTCCCTGAGGGTTTCTTGTCAGAACGAAAGAATTTTTCAAGTGATTTCCAAACCTTCCAAGATTGGGATCAGAAGTACGACCAGAAAGTCAAAGCTTCAGGGCTGAGGGCCTGGCGAAAGAAGCTGCGTATTTCAAACGCAGCCGACAAAAAGTTGGTACACAGGTGGTTGAAAGGTTCTTTCGCTACAGTGCCGCGACTGATGCAGCGAAGTGACGGTTCCTTGTCCGGATCGGTATCTGAAATGCTGGAATCTGTTTCAGACCATATGGAAAGTGTATACAATCAACACATGGAATGGGATACCCCTTCCCAGATTGAATATTTTCGCGAGAAGTATCGGGATTCAATTTCTCAAACGTTCTGCGAGGCTAGTGTTCCCAGTTTGAATGAGCAAGATTTTTGGGATTTGTGTCAAAGCAAGTCCCCTACCAAGGCTTCCGGTCTTGACATGTGGTCATATCGGGAACTGCAGCAACTTCCTGTGTCAGCTTGGCAGCTCTTTGTCCTTGTATGCAAACTAGTTGAAGCTGCAGGTGAATGGCCGAACATTGTAAAGTGTATCACTGTGACATGTTTGCCTAAAAAGGACGGACCTGTTTTGAACCCGAATCAGATTCGCGCCATTGGTGTCAGCAGTGTTGTCTATTCTTTGTGGTCTTCCCTCAGATTTAGACATTTATCGACATGGATGAATTCAATCGCCCCATCATGCCTTCTAGGAGGGATACCCGGGCGGAGTGCTGATTCCCATGAGATCGACTTGTCCCTTGAATTTCATGAACATGACCAGAATCCTGATCCCATCGCCATATTTTTAGATCGTGCAAAATGTTTTGACATGTTGGTACCTGATTTTGCTGTTCAGATAGCTTGTGACATTGGGCTTCCCCTTAACGTAGCGAGGGCTTTGACTGGTTTTTATCGGGGCCAAATCAAGATATTCAAGATTGGACGATTTTATGGGCGGAAGGTGTTTTCCAAAAACAGTGCCATTCAAGGTTGTTCTATGTCAATTTTAATGGTAAATACGTTCTATTCCATTATGACCAGGGCCATGACCAACCAGTTTCATCATGTCTCCATTGCGACCTTTATTGATGATGCAAAAATATGGGGTTCCTTCCACTATGTTGATGAAATTGCTGGAGCGTTTGAATTTGTGCGGCAATTTGATAAAGACATTGGTCAACAACTCAACCCCCAGAAAACTGAAATCCTGGCTAGAAGGGTCCTCAAAGGAAAGCTGTTGAAGCAGAAAATCCAACTCCCAGTTCAGGTTTCTTCCCAGGTTAAATCACTAGGACGTGTTCAACAGATGAATAAGTGCCGTAACGCTACAATGCAATCAAACCGTGTAGCAAAGGCGAGCGACTGTCTTAAAAAGATTCGACAGTTGCCACTGTCCCCTCCCCAGAAGTCTGTGTACATTCATGCACATGCCCACTCCAAATGGGTGTTCGGTAGTGAAACACAGGGCATCCCCAAGAAAGATCTTCAAAAATTGCGTACGCAAGTGTGTGATATTTTTGACCCCTCATCTCACAACATGCGGTCACCTTTTGCTGTCATGGCTACATTGGAGGATGTATTTCTGGATCCGTTTGCAAAGTGGGCATGTCATGTCTTGAACCATGCTCGCAAACTCGTCAAATTCCACCCAAATATTGCAAAAAGGGCGTTAGGAGCTGTTCTCAGAGATCCCACGCCGAAATCAGGAGCCTGTCATGGTTTTTCAAATGTGCTGTCGTATATATTGTCTGAGTTGAATTGGGCAGTTATATCACCTGATGATTTCACAGTATCCACACCTCATGGGTCATTCCCCTTCAGCGCATGGAGCGACCAATATTTTTCTGGTATTGTCGCTTCTTCCGTTAGAACTTATCTTTTCAAGCAGCAGCCGGTGCGCCAAGAAACATGCAGGATTCCTGAAGGCCACTTGCTAGACATTTCACTCACGAGGTTCTTGTTTGATCAAAAGATGAGGAGCGATGAAGAGTTTGATTTCCTCAAGCCTCATGTTGACAAAATCCACCGAAGTTGGGCCTACAGTAAGAACCTGCTGCGGATGGCACAGACGGGCCGTGTTTTCACTTCCTCTTGGCTTCATGCTGCTGGCTTGGCCCCGGACAATTTGTGCATCTCGTGTGGGGAAAAGGAGACTGTGAGGCATTTGTTTTGTGATTGCCCGGCTTATTCCAGAACGAGGCCTGCGCCAGTCGAGCCTGGTCATGACGTCACTATGTTGACAGGGGTTGTGTTTTCTCCCCCTTTTCAGTTCGAATCATGTTGTCTCACGTGCCCCGAGCGACCGGGTGGGCCTTTTTTCCCGACTGAGATTGTTTTTATTGATGGGTCTTGTTACAAAAGCAATTGGCACCAGGTTGCCACGGCTGCGTCAGCATATTTTCTTTCCACGGAGTGCAATTTTGCGTGCCTCCTCCCCACGCAAGATTGCACGAGCCAGAGGTCGGAAATTTTTGCAGCAGCATTGGCGTTGTCACATTCCAGTGGTCCTATCACCATTGCTAGTGATTGTTTGACGGTTGTTCGAATTTTCAAAAGGCTTCAAGATGCTGATTTTTCTCGCGAATGGATTCACAAGTTGGACAACTGGGATTGCTGGAATTTGGTTTGCTCCGTTGCGAAATCTCGTCCTGGTAGGGTGCATATCATAAAAGTAAAGGCCCATTGTACGGCAAAGTCTAGTCAGGATCCATATCTTACGTATGGAAATAGCATGGTGGATGCAGCCGCTAGGGCTGTAGCTAGAGATGCGTTTAGAGCCAAGCTCGAACCTTACCGTAAGTTGATCACAGTGGCTGTGTCATGGCAATGCCATATCATTGCCACGCTGGGCGAACGATGTGCGTGCCAATTTTTGTGCCCGTCAGACCAACCTCCGAGTGATCCAACCCCTTCACACCTTTTCCTGAGCAGTGTAACAGTGAATTCTTGACCAAGTGTGAAAACGGGACCGTTCGCCCGAATGACTTCGACAGACTCTGGGACGTTTATCAAACTTTTCGGGATTCTTTCACCTCTGTCATTGTTCAACCCCATGTCTTTCCTCAGCTGGACCAGCGGAATGCTAGGTCTAGGTTGCAGAATTATTCTGGTGAGTACTTCCAGGCTGTGTCTAGGTACACCCAGGATGTCTGTGTAGAGTTTCTGGTCAATCAGCAAGGGCCCAAAGTTCCATGGGTCTTGGTGTTTTTTGACTTTGTGGGTTGTTATCCTGATTTACCCGAGTGGGTTGACGGCAAGAAACTTCAACATTTTTTGAATCAATTCAAGACCCGTTTTCGCCGTTTCTGCAAAGGAAAATTCACTTCATATCATCATTGCATGAATCTCCGCGACCTCTATTTTGGGAGGATGAGTGGTTTTGTTGGGTTGTTCAAACCCGTCTCTATTCACAAAGTCACTTTCCTGAGTGTTCATTCTTCTGCTCAAATTGGCTATTCAGGTGGGTCTCCCTCTGGTAGAGGTCCTGGTGTGTCCTGTCGGTCCATTGATATTCCCTTCTCTGTCCTCAGATCATTTCCTGCTTTCGCTGATTAATTGTGCTTTCGTTGCCTTGCTGAGTTTCGCGCGCGGCACTCAGAGTATCAGGCTGCAAAAAAGGTGTCAACCCCATTTTCAGACACACCCAAATTTTCAAATGGGTTTTGGTCGTTGCATCCCCATATCTCAAATCTCTACTTTTGTTGGCTGAAGTCCCTATCTGCAATTGAAAAACAACACTGATGTTCGTGAATAACATCCATCATTCATTGTTTTTCATAAATTCGTATGTTAAATCAACTAATTTCAGGTCAAATCACATGAAATCAGAGAAAAACATCAGCTGAAAGTCCCATCCCATCCCCGCCATCCCCTCCCGACCTGAGCTCAGTGGGTCGGTCGTCGCGCCAGCCTCGGAGCACGTCGCCCACACAGAGCGTCGCGGCGTCGAAGCTCTCGCCGTCCACGAAGAGGTTCTCGCCAAAGCAGCCGGGCTGGAGCTGTGCCTAGCGAATGGAAACGATTTTTTCGACCAGGAATAAATGAGTACAGACATATAGAGAGATAGAGAGATGGGCTTTTCCCAAGATCGAAAGTTTGATATATCTACCATAAATCCCATATAAACCCATATGGCTATGGATCAATACCTATGAAAATACCATTTTTGGATGAACATCCATAAATCCCAGCTATGACTTGGGGTTCACGGCACGGTACCAGGGTGTTGACCCATCCCCATATAGAGAGATAGAGATAGAGATAGAGGATAGAGCCAGAGATAGTTATCGAACATATGGGCAGTGGCTGCGAAACCCCTATTGGTTGATGAAAAGGTGCGATCTTTCTTAAACCCCTGGTTGATGTCTCATCATTTTCTCCCATTCAAACGGCCACTTTGGGGTATGGCCCATTTCCTGACACGCCCTTGTAGGTTCATGATTAATGCCTTCCTGCTGTAGCATATTGAATACTACTTGAATGCCCCCGAAAAGAATCCCCAAAAAATGACTAGACCAGATACTAAACCAGGGTTTGGATAGCATTTAATACATTTCATATCAAAGGGATCGATAACATATGTTGATCTCCCCAGGGAGTCGCCTCAGAAAGTTGCTGCTCCAGTTTCAAACCGGCCTCACAAGACGTGAGAAGCAGCCACAGGAGACCCTCCATTCATGGATGTCGATGTTATCCAAGCCGAACCAGATACCCTCATGGAAAATCCCCTATAATCCTATAAACTGGATGATCTGGACTGGATGTTTACACTGTAAAATGGATTAAAATGGTGGATTTTCGAGCAAACCACGTTTGATTATGGGAGGTTATTTCCAACCAAACTTGGATGTGTTTAAGGGAACCCCAAAAATAACCAAAAAACATTCCCTATAGATTCCCAATTTCTAGTGGATGTCCCATTGGGGAGATTTTGAAAAAACATGTTCCGTAAATCCAAGAAAAATTAGGGATTTCAACAAAAAGAATTCAGGCACACCCAGCCAAAATTGTGATGTTGTAAGAAGAGATGCGGATCTTCTCAAAGCACAATTGGGGGCGTCATCCATACAACTAGGTGTCTGACCAACACTTGCAAGGAGATGTTTCGCCGACCAAGTTTGTGTCCCTGCCAGGGTGTTACCCCAGCAGCTGAAAATAGAGCTAGCGTCAAAACCACGATTTTTCCCCACTAATATCATCCCAAATCCCCACATTGATTTGATGAATATGGTTGGCCAGTCAGCCAGTCAGTTCACATCATCGCACCCTTGGACCTATGGAAAAAAGAAACAGGTGTTCTGATTCGTTACCCAAAGATTCTCTTGAAAAGTATTAACGTGACCGATCAAGTGGGGGCCCTGGTATCTGAATGGAAATTCCTCTTGTTGAGGAGATGTCAATCGTGTGTATATATATATACACTATATATACATATATGTATATATATATAACATATGTGTATGTAAATATATATATATGTGTATGTATATATACATATATATATATATACACATGTGTGTATATATACATATAATTATATACGTACTATATATATGTATATATATATATATGTACTATATATATATACATAACATATGTGTGTGTGTGTAGCGCTTTAGTACCCAAAAAAAGGGTGTACTAAACCCAACATTTCATGGCCTCGCTGGGAGAACATCATTGTCCCATCAAAATTTCATGGTTTGAAGCCTCCCATCCCAGCCCGACCAGGAACCTTCAACAGCCGCTGAAGATTTCCCTTGGTCTGCACCAGCACTGCCCGGTCTCCAGCATTTTCCAGGTGCCCGCCGTTCAGTTCCTCAAGGTGGGGGAAAAATGGGGAAAAATGGGGAAAGAATGGGAAAAATGATGCTTAATCATAGTGATATTCTATGGGTAACTAGTGGCAATGGGGCCTAACTATGCTTAATCATTTATCAGTAACTATGGAATCCGAACCTCCATAGGCTGGGATATTGGGCCCCTAAACTATGGTTATATATTTTTAAAAACAAATATATATATATATATATATGGGTAAATCCGCCGACCCCGGCCTTCGCCAAGGCCGGGGCGGCGCCTGGGACCACCGCAGGTGTGGAACTTTTCCGCGCACATAGCCCTCTCTCGTTAGGGCATTCGAGGCAGCTGCCACCACGCCCTCTGGCCGGCAGCCTTTGCTGTTCCAGGGTTGCAGCCTGCCCTTTGCCTGCGCATCCCTCGCGGCAGCTGCCACCAAGCCCTCTGGCCGTCAGCGTTCCAGCATTGCAGCCTGCCCTTTGCCTGCACTGAGCCCTCTCTTGTTCCCCAACAAGCCCAACACGCGCCACTGCCGCACGCAAAAGCCACCACAAGGCCACAGCAATGGCTCAAGGGCACCCCACGGCCGCAGCAATGGCTTCTTATACGCGTTCAAGGCTGCCGTTTGCCAGGCCTCAAACGCTCCAAAACCCTCCAAACCCTCCAAAAGTCCGGCCAGCTCCGCAAGGAAAAGGTACCCCAACAAGCCCAACACGCGCCACTCCCGCACGCAAAAGCCACCACAAGGCCACAGCAATGGCTCAAGAGCACCCCACGGCCGCAGCAATGGCTTCTTATACGCGTTCAAGGCTGCCGTTTGCCAGGCCTCAAACGCTCCAAAACCCTCCAAAACCCGCCAAAACCCTCCAAACCCTCCAAACGTCCGGCCAGCTCCGCAGGGAAAAGGTACCCCAACAAGCCCAACACGCGCCACTGCCGCACGCAAAAGCCACCACAAGGCCACAGCAATGGCTCAAGGGCACCCCACGGCCGCAGCAATGGCTTCTTATACGCGTTCAAGGCTGCCGTTTGCCAGGCCTCAAACGCTCCAAAACCCTCCAAACCCTCCAAAAGTCCGGCCAGCTCCGCAGGGAAAAGGTACCCCAACAAGCCCAACACGCGCCACTGCCGCACGCAAAAGCCACCACAAGGCCACAGCAATGGCTCAAGAGCACCCCACGGCCGCAGCAATGGCTTTCTCATACTCCCGCACGCAAAAGCCACCACAAGGCACAGCATGGCTCAAGGCACCCCACGCCGCAGCAATGGCTTCTTATACGCATTTCAGGCTGCCGTTTGCCCTCCTCAAGAGCTCCAAACCCTCCCAACCCTCCAAACCCTCCAACAGTCCGGCACCGTAAAAGGTACCCCAACAAGCCCAACACGCGCCACTCCCGCAGGCAAAAGCCACCACAAGGCCACAGCAATGGCTCAAGGGCACCCCACGGCCGCAGCAATGGCTTCTTATACGCGTTCAAGGCTGCCGTTTGCCAGGCCTCAAACCCTCCAAAACCCTCCAAACCCTCCAAAAGTCCGGCCAGCTCCGCAGGGAAAAGGTACCCCAACAAGCCCAACACGCGCCACTGCCGCACGCAAAAGCCACCACAAGGCCACAGCAATGGCTCAAGGGCACCCCACGGCCGCAGCAATGGCTTCTTATACGCGTTCAAGGCTGCCGTTTGCCAGGCCTCAAACGCTCCAAAACCCTCCAAAACCCTCCAAACCCTCCAAAAGTCCGGCCAGCTCCGCAAGGAAAAGGTACCCCAACAAGCCCAACACGCGCCACTCCCGCACGCAAAAGCCACCCCAAGGCCACAGCAATGGCTCAAGAGCACCCCACGGCCGCAGCAATGGCTTCTTATACGCGTTCAAGGCTGCCGTTTGCCAGGCCTCAAACCCTCCAAAACCCTCCAAAACCCTCCAAAACCCTCCAAACCCTCCAAACCCTCCAAAAGTCCGGCCAGCTCCGCAGGGAAAAGGTACCCCAACAAGCCCAACACGCGCCCCTGCCGCACGCAAAAGCCACCACAAGGCCACAGCAATGGCTCAAGGGCACCCCACGGCCGCAGCAATGGCTTCTTATACGCGTTCAAGGCTGCCGGTTGCCAGGCCTCAAACGCTCCAAAACCCTCCAAACCCTCCAAAAGTCCGGCCAGCTCCGCAAGGAAAAGGTACCCCAACAAGCCCAACACGCGCCACTCCCGCACGCAAAAGCCACCACAAGGCCACAGCAATGGCTCAAGAGCACCCCACGGCCGCAGCAATGGCTTCTCCAAGGCTGCCGCCGCCAGGCCCCAAACGCCCCAAAACCCCCCAAAACCCTCTCCAAACCCTCCAAAAGTCCGGCCAGCTGCGCAGGGAAAAGGTACCCCAACAAGCCCAACACGCGCCACTGCCGCACGCAAAAGCCACCACAAGGCCACAGCAATGGCTCAAGGGCACCCCACGGCCGCAGCAATGGCTTCTTATCCGCGTTCAAGGCTGCCGTTTGCCAGGCCTCAAACGCTCCAAAACCCTCCAAACCCTCCAAAAGTCCGGCCAGCTCCGCAAGGAAAAGGTACCCCAACAAGCCCAACACGCGCCACTCCCGCACGCAAAAGCCACCACAAGGCCACAGCAATGGCTCAAGAGCACCCCACGGCCGCAGCAATGGCTTCTTATACGCGTTCAAGGCTGCCGTTTGCCAGGCCTCAAACGCTCCAAAACCCTCCAAAACCCTCCAACCCTCCAAAAGTCCGGCCAGCTCCGCAAGGAAAAGGTACCCCAACAAGCCCAACACGCGCCACTCCCGCACGCAAAAGCCACCACAAGGCCACAGCAATGGCTCAAGGGCACCCCACGGCCGCAGCAATGGCTTCTTATAACTCCCGCACGCAAAAGCCACCACAAGGCCACAGCAATGGCTCAAGAGCACCACACGGCCGCAGCAATGGCTTCTTATACGCGTTCAAGGCTGCCGTTTGCCAGGCCTCAAACGCTCCAAAACCCTCCAAAACCCTCCAAACCCTCCAAAAGTCCGGCCAGCTCCGCAGAAAAGGTACCCCAACAAGCCCAACACGCGCCACTGCCGCACGCAAAAGCCACCACAAGGCCACAGCAATGGCTCAAGGGCACCCCACGGCCGCAGCAATGGCTTCTTATACGCGTTCAAGGCTGCCGTTTGCCAGGCCTCAAACGCTCCAAAACCCTCCAAAAGTCCGGCCAGCTCCGCAAGGAAAAGGTACCCCAACAAGCCCAACACGCGCCACTCCCGCACGCAAAAGCCACCACAAGGCCACAGCAATGGCTCAAGAGCACCCCACGGCCGCAGCAATGGCTTCTTATAACTCCCGCACGCAAAAGCCACCACAAGGCCACAGCAATGGCTCAAGAGCACCCCACGGCCGCAGCAATGGCTTCTTATACGCGTTCAAGGCTGCCGTTTGCCTGCGTTTTCTTGCATCGCCCTCTGTTGCTAGGGCGTCCCTGCCTAGGGCGCCTCGCGGCAGCCTCCACCAAGCCCTGCGGCCGTAAGCCCTTGCTGTTCCAGCGTTGCAGCCTGCCGTTTGCCTGCGAATAGCCCTCTGTTGTTATGGCGTTCAAGCCTGCCGTTTGCCAGCCTTCAAACCCTTAAAACCCTTAAAATGCTCCGTTGCCAGCCTTCAAACCCCTTAAAACCCTTCAAACCCTTAAAACCTCTAAAATGCTCCGAATCCCTCGCGGCAGCTTCCACCAAGCCCTCCTGTAAGCCTTTGCTGTTCCAGCGTTGCAGCCTGCAGTTTGCCTGCGTTTACCTGCATAGCCCTCTGTTGTTATGGCGTTCAAGCCTGCCGTTTGCCACCCTTCAAACCGTTATTCAAACCCTTAAAACCCCTAAAACCCTCCAAATCCCTCGCGGCAGCTTCCACCAAGCCCTCTCTCTATCTCTCCCTCCCTCTCTCTCCCTCTCTCTACAGCACCCCCCAAATAGGGGGGGTCGGCGGCACCAGGGCGCTAGCCCATTCTATTATAATATTTCACTAGCCTGAATTAAGGCCATTTTGGGATGATTCCCTTACTAACCATGTTTTCCAGTGAGGTCGCAGTGAGGTCGTTATAATTTACCCAGATATATACATATAATTATATAACTTAAACCCCATGTGGCCATGAAAAATTAAGCTGTTTCATGGGATGTCATGGGGTTAAAAAAAAACTAAAACGTAAGGGGATGTAAGGGGATACAACCAGCCAATAGTATGATACAATATGACACAATGAGATTTGAAGTTGCCCGAGAATGGGAGATGTACCTTGAGATGGCTATGAAATGAGGACAATTATATAGGATCAATCATGATATCTTTAGGTTGCCCTAGTGTGTAAGCGAACCTAGATATTTGGAAAAATCCGAAAATCCCTATGTTGGTTTAGTGGAAGGTATCACAACCAGGCCCTTTGAAAGGGACAAAAGCATGCCCGAAAATTGGTGATAGTTTTTTCAAATGGGTCAAAAAAAACAAACCAGCCGCAATGGTAGGTCTCTAAGGGACTGATTTCAAGGAGAATGAGTAGAAACCTGTTAGAAACCCTGTGGAATAAATGCGCTCAATGGCGAATAATCGAGAGATTTTCCAGCCATGTGACTGAGAAAACATGAGAAATTCACAGATTCATCATGAATGCATTGGAAATCGGGAAATCCCATGGGATGTATCCCTCATTCACATCCATCCAAGAAACATCATGAATCATTTTGGAAATCTAGAAATCCCATGAGAACAACATCCACCTAATTTCGACGTTTTTCGCCCAAGTGACGTAACGTGTGCTGCTGTTGAAGGCCATTGATCCCCGAAGTCCCAGTAGATCCACGGGCACCGCCGAGGAGAAATCGATGCGTTCGAAGGTGGGATGGCCATCATCCTGGCGCCCCATGGTTTTGGAAAACTGGGAATTCTAGGGGTTAATGGGAAAATCACCATTTTTAATGGGAAAACTCACTATTTCTATGGCCATTTAGCTGGTTGGTGGTTGAGCCACCTACCCCTCTGAAAAATGATGGAGTGAGTTCGTCAGTTGGGGTTATGACATTGCCAACTGAATGGAAAAATTAAAAAAATGTTCCAAACCACCAACCAGAAAATGTGTTCAGAAATCTAGAATATTCAGGCAAATGTTGAGGAAAATCTGGAAAAAGTTGAGGGAACATTTGGGGAAAATCTAGAAATGCTCAAGGTTGAGGATTTAGCAAGAATGTGGATGAATGATCGCTTTTGGTGCAAGTAATGCGGGGAAAAATATGGAATAGTTTGATGGATGGGATGATCGCTTTTGTTGGTTTTGGTTACTGTGTTCTAACCAAAACCTTTCCAAGCTTCATCATATTATCTGTATTCAAATGGTGGTTCAGTGAAAGACTTATATAGAATCAGAAATTATCACTTTCGGCGATTTAACCTGCACTAGATGTTCCCTTCATTCTGCTTTGGCATCAAGCCAGGATGGGCCAAGTCATTTCCCTGAGTGATCAAGATGTCGATGGATCCGTTTACAATGAATCTCCTGCACTTTACGGGGTAATAGTTCGTACAAATGGACCATCTCCATACAGGAAGTCATCGTTTTAGAACCAGGGCCGGCTGTGCCGAACAAGAAAAGGCCATCAGAAGAACCGACCACTTGGCGCTTGGTGACAATTGAATGATTGGGAATGCCCAACACAGATTTTCGGGAGTTACACCCACTGTTTTGGAAATGTCCACTTGAGAAAACATGAAACATCATTTTTCCATCACCCTTTTTTTCAGGCTCGCATCGAACCCTTCATTGCAGAGCCTGACAACAAATAATGATGTTTGAAAGGAGACCCTTTTTTACTTCAGTGTTCTGTGATCTTTCTTTGTTAACCCCTGCAAATCAATAGCTGCAACCCCACTCTTTAGTGGCCAGCCATCGAAGTGCGAAATTCATCATCGGCACGCCTTGGCAGAAGGATCCAGATCTGCCTCGGCCAATTCCCACAAGATTCCCCATTTTTGTTGCTGGATTGACAAATCGGACAATGAAAAACATGGTACCCTTAATGATAATGTTGATGGTGGTTAATGGTTCATTGGTTAATGGTGGTTAATGGTGGTTAATGTTCCAGGACTGTAAATGTCACCCACCTAACTTGGAGATGGAAATTGGAAAACAACATCGGGATACTGTCATCATTCACACATCGGTATCTTTAGGAACCAAAACCCTACGTCACAAGCAAGTTCACGCATCAAAGTATACAACAAACCTTCTGACATCTCAGTGGCTGAGCCACTGCTAATTCAAAGTCCTTTTTCATCGATCGGTGCCAGTTCTATCTGTACCCCTCTCTTAGCAAACTGGGGATTTATGGTGAACCTCGGGTCCTGAGGGTATGTTTTTACGTACTTGTGTATATATATATGTTATATATGTGTGTAGACATAACTAAAATAATATTCATTATAAATATAAACAAATTGTCTATAGGCAAACTATATATATATATGTTATGTAAACAATACATATATGATGCAATATATATATATATTATATGTGATGTAATATATATATAATGTAATATGTATATTATGTAATAAATATATATATATATAAATCATGTAATATAAATATATTTTTTGAAAAATACATGTATATATATATATTATTACATTATACAAAATTATATTATATTGTGTTATCTTATCTTTGCTTATATTAGATCATTATATATTAAACATTATATGATATTACATGATAATATATTAAAGTATATTAAATCATATTTTATTATATTACATATACATATATATATATTATGTAAAATATATAAATACATTGATATTATGTAAAATATATATATATCCTATGTAAAATATATTTAATGTAATATATATATATATATATTATGTAATGTATATATATACATATATATTATGTGATATGTAAATATATATTATGCGATATGTAAATATATATATAGTGTATATTATGTAATATATATATATACACATATTATGATATATATATATTATGTAATATATAGAGATAATGTAATATATAGATATTTGATTTTGTAATATCTATATATATTATGTAATATCTATATGAAAATATATTGTATTGAATACCATGGACAAGGTTACATTTCCTTGCTTTCATTATGATCAACTGGTCTGATTTGCTCGCAAACATGGCTCACAATGCAACCCTTATAGCCTATATATGCCATCTAAGTGTGATTTCTGGTTTTGCCGACACGAGAAATACGTGTCACAGACCCCTTTGTGCCATCTTAGTGTTGCAAAAAAACGTTTCGTTTTGAAGAGGTTTTTTCCGTATTGATGGCATACAAATTAACCTTTACCGGTGCCATCAATCTGTGACCTCCTGTATATATATATATGTATTATGTAGTATCTATTTATACTATGATATATATATATGTCTGTGTGCTTATTTCTGCCCTGGCAAATCTCCCGCTCCTTCGTCGCTTCTCGCAGCAGCACCCGACTCACCCGCGCGCTTGGTAGCGCCGCCATATCCGCTATGGTGATGGCCAGGTGCTTTGTTTTTGAGAGATTTGTTAGGGTGTTAATGGGTTTCTGGTTGGTGGTTTCAACCCCTCTGAAAAATATTAGTCAATGGGAAGGATTATTCCATATATTATGGAAAATAAAAAATGTTTTTGCTCTGAGCGCACCGCTGCCGAAGTGGGACACGCAGCTACGGCCGTGCAGTGGAATCTCAGACTCCTCTCAAGAGATCAAGCACCTTCCCCGCTCCTGTAGCTGGTGCCGTGAGTTGCCGAGCCAAAACACCTTCAACAGCTTGAAACTCCTGTTGGGAAAGATGAAAACCAACAGAACCCCTGAAACAAGCTATCCAATGACTGACAGGCCTCACGGTTGCACAGCTACAGCGCACTTTGGCGTCTCGGAAATACTGCTGCAGCATAAGTCGGAAGTGCTTGACCCTCACATTCAAACGGGTATGGTTCGCCAGCTCCGCTTGGGTGCCAGTTTCGACAACCCACTTTCCCGCCTGCTTGGTGATGTACCAAGCTCCCTTGTGTCGGCGGAAGCTAATGTACAACTGCAGGAACGACACCCACTTCAGCGGTTGCGTCACGTCACGGATGCACGACAACCAGCTATGTACAGCATCCGCCAAGGTGGGGCCGAAAAACTTTCGAAAGGTCGGGGCTTGCAGTTCTAACTGATAGGGCTCTTCCCAAACTAAGGCCGGATGCCGGTTGCTAGGACGGACAGGACGCGGCGGTGGTGGGACACGAGACTCGGCAGGACCGACAGTTTGACTCCAAAGGCGACCGACAGCAACGATATGTTGACGGACCCAGCCTGACACAAAGCTATGGCGACATGTTTGGTCAACGTACGCACTCCAGAGGTTCCAGACAGCTTCAGGTCGGGCTTGATTGGCCATGGCAGCTGCTCGGTCAACCGCATTGTTTCCATCAACTAACCAACGTTCGACATCACTATCAAAATTTCTGCGGTCCTCATGGGCCGGGACCTTAAGCAGAGCAATTTTGTGGGCGCCAAGTTGGGCGGAAACAGACTGCAGCAAAAGCAAAAGATCCGCATTCTTTCCATTGGGTCGAACTTGTCGGGCTTCACGGACATACTTCTGAAAGGCACGGATGACACCAAGGCAATCAGACCAGATACGGATGTAGGCATGGGTTCGCAAGGCAAATTGGATTGCAACGATCACTGCTGTAAGTTCTGCTCTGTAAGCGGTTTGGATGAGACCTGCAAGTGGCTGGGCAGCAACAGGACGGAAATCTTGGGGATTCACATTCAGGCCAAACTGTGGTGCCAAGACAACAGCCCAACTGGCTACTCTGTAAGTGCTTTCCCGAGGGAAGAGACAAGAGCCATCAGTGAAAACGTCCAAAATGGCCGCAGGTGGGCGCGACATGATGAAGCTCACTTCTGTGGGCAGTTCAGCAAGATCTTTAAACCATGCTTCGGCCAAGGGGGATCGCAAGGTCCAACCATGTTCGGTGACGACCCGAGGCATTTGGGCAAGCTCAAGTTGTACATCAAAAGGGATGACTTCCCGGAGTGGTGCGGATGCTGTACATTCCCACAGGCGATGGTGGACTGAGTCCAAACATTGACAGTGTACGCACAAGGCAGAACCACTAGCCGACCAATGCTGGACGAGTTCATTGGTAAAGGAAGCTCCATGCAAGTGTTTGCGCAAAATGCCTTGGTCATAGGCAGGGAAACTCACATATGCTTTCCTGGTTGCAGGCAAGTCCACATGTTCAAAACCTCGGAACGATTTGCGGTGCTTAACAAAACCCGCCAAAACTTGAGTCCAAGTCCACTGTGCACGCAACACAAACTCCTGCAACGGGCAACGCAAGAAGTCAAAGGTCCCAATGGCATCATGGATACGCCCGTCATTTTGAATGGTAAAACCAATCTTGTGCAGGCGTTGTCCAAGGATTTCAGAAATGGAGTTGTGCTGAGGGTCTTCACCATCAAACAAGGCCAACTGTAAATCCACCTCAACCGATTGGGCATCACAAAGGCTGCGTGCATCTCTGACCGTCTCAAAGGCAGCAAAAAGCATAGGGTCGAAAGCTTCACCTTCCAGGCTGCATTGCAATTCCGGGTTTGCGCCAGGTCTTTGGATGCGAAGGGCTTGCATGACTGCAGTGCGGAGGCCTTCAAAGTGCTTTCGGCCAACCACAACGGCTGCCACTGCGTGAAACGCACGGGGCCATGCCACTCGTTTGATCAGGGTGATCTTTTGTGCATAGGTGCATTTGCAGCTGCTGAGCTTCTGCCAAAAATCGCTAAGCTGTCGGAAACGCTCAACTTGGTGATAGTTGGAGAGCTGGCGTGAGTAGACAACATGGGCACCAAGTTCTCGGTTGCGAAGCTTCACAACAAAGCCTGCCTCCCGCAACTGCTTTCGGCCATCCCTGGTGGCAGCCCAGCAGTAGGATTTGGCTGGATCAAGGTCAAGTTGAAGAGCGGCTGCAAAGGCATCAACAGCTCGGCATGCTTGCCCCATATAGTCCACTGAGTGAAGAAGGACCCCCCAATTATCAACGTACGAAACTGGTTTGAACATGGCATTGGTCGCAAGCATCCACCTATGAAAAAGCTGGGTCAGGGACAACATAGCAAGACATGAAAGTGCACAACCTTCTGGGAATCCGTTGCATGAGCTGACTCCAGGGGAGTAGCTGCCTTGGATAACAAAATGTCTCACAAATCCACTGAGTGCTCCTGCCCAAGCGATCAAGGTGCCGTGGTCGACGCCCAAAAGTTTCAAGGCTGCAAATGCTGGCTGACGCGGCAAGATGTTAATGCTTTCACAATATCTGCCGAAAAACCGCAAGCACCTGAATTTTGTTGATGCGCCAATTCGATCTGCTCAAGCATATGACGCCAGACCATAGATGCTCGGCCACCAACTGTGTTGCCACATAACAGAGGGTCCACAACATCACTGACCAGTTTCAACCAATGTCTTGCTGCGATTGAAGACCAAGTACGATAAACGTTGGAAAACACCGTAATCGGTCTGAAATGGTTGACCGTGGAAGGCTCCTCAGTTTTGGCTAATGACCTCACATATCCCTTGAGCACTTGTGCAGGCCAGGCGCCTGAATCAGTGGCATGGGCAAAAACCTTACAAAGCAGTGCGAGGTCAGGTGAAGTCAATGCCAGCAAGTCAGCACGGCTAACTCCGTCAAGGCTGGTTGCCGCATGCTTGGATTTGCTTCTCAAGGTGCTTCGCACTGCAGCCTCAGAGATGTCAGGTGGAGCACCATCAACTTTCCGGAGTTGAGCACGTGCAAAGGCGATGATTTGATCCCATTGGGAGGCAGGCACATTTTGATGACGATTCCAGAGCTGAGCCCACTGTGATTCAAACGCATGGAAAAGGTTAGGCAATTGTCCAAGAGGTCGGCGCTGGATCAAGGAGTCCCCTGGTTGAATTGACTGACATGAATTCAGCGAAAGCTTGTCACTGTCGCAGTGAATGATGTCCAGTGGGTTCCCATTATGCAAAATTGGTACATTGGGGTACCAAGGCACAGCTTCTGTGGTAACAACTGCACATTCAGCTTCATCCACTTCTGCAACATATGCTGTCTGGGACAACGCAAGGGAATCAACCTGAGCTGGAACGTCACGTTTGACGGCTTTATACATGGCATGGGCATCTGAGGCCTTGTGCATACGATTGGCATGAGATCTGGAACTGTTGAGGGCGGTCTCAAGCTGTGAGAGCTCCAAGTCCAAACCTGCAAGAAACAGCAACCCAACTGCATGGCTCGGGGGTTCCTGCGGGACACAAGCCGGTTCACCAATTCCTAGGTCTCTGCTAGCCCACCATTTGTCAAAACTGGGGACAAAACCACGCGCCTGCCGGATGGCGGACCACAGGCAGTATTGATGGGCAACATGGGCAACAGTAGGAAGAGCTGAAGCACAAAGTCTCACATACGACTGCAACCTACGGTGTTGTTTTGTCCATTGCACATGTTGCATGCAGGATCCAAGGAAAGCAGGTTGGCGGTCGCCTGGCCTACTGGTTTTCAACGGAGCCAAGTTGGTTTCACGTCTGACGGGCTGAAGTTGCTGGGCTCGGCCTGTCATGGCTCTCACTGCTGGCTTGCGCACACGGGCACGGGCGTGCATGTTCGACTGCTCCACTTCGGACCAAAACCTGGTATAGTCCGTGGTGAGATTGGTGGGGTCCTGGAAAAGTTGCCTACTGACCGGGGCTCGGGTGTCGGCATGTTCCCACTCCATGGGGTCAGGAATTGGCCATGCAAAACGGTACACATCTTCTTCAACACCACGAAACTTACCAATCAAGTAAGCATGGTCGGCAACTGTTTCTTCATCAAGCCAACAACCAAGGAACAGTGACGCAAGTTCACGGGACACAAAGCAGAAATCCCGTCTGGTTTTGTCACGACACGTTGCTTGAGGAAGGCGTCCTGTTCTTTCGGCTTCAAGGTCTTGGATGTCCCGATAGCCCAACCGATGCATCACCGTGACAGCATGGAGCCTATCCCAATCATGATTGAAATCTCCTGCAATATACCGCGGGCCAGGCATTTGTTCAACGCGGTCGAGGGCTTGAGTCAAAAGTTCATTTGTGACTTCTCTGCCTTTTGGATGGGTTGGGCCCGTAGGCGTGCCATAGACCACCACACCGGAAACCCACAAGCCATGAGCACAAAACGATGTACAAACAAGTCGGCCAGAATGGTACAAGGAGGACGACCACTGGTGAGGGAGTCGTCGAATTGGGAACTTCGCCATAACACCAACTCCAGACCATTGACCAATATCACTGGCTTCGGATCTAGGTGCCACCGGGCAACCATGTTGGAAGGCTGTGTAGGCTGGGCTGGAACTGCGAACATTGCTCCAGAACACCTGGGCTCCAACCTTGGTCAAGTGGGTTTCAGAAAAAAGCCACACATCATACGCACTGTCAGTAAAGCCAAAAGCACGGGTGTTGAGTCCACTCAGAT